ACGTATTGCTGAACGTCAGAAGCGTTATTTCACCTTCGATGTTAGATGATTTTAGTATCAAACTTTGAAAAATTACTTCAGCTTGTTTTGAGATGTCCAGTGCAGCCCCCTCCGACCATAAAACAAACAAACAAACAAACAAAAAACGGAATTCTTGATGTATTTACCGTATTAATGGGTGCCATACGCATGCCTCCAGGATATCCATACGTTTCAAGGTTTGCTCTTCCAAACATAAAAACTCCAAACAAACTTATAGGTGAAACATGGTTTATGACGTGTGTTCCCTCGGCTACCAAGACCGTAGCACCTTGATAGTCGGTCCCCGGGATCGCGTGCCATATTGTGTCATTCCCCAACGGAACGCCATTCAAGCGGATGCCGCTGGCTTCTGAGCTTTTAGCTATCAACATCAGGTAGTTTTCGTAAGAGCCAAGGCTGTACTTTGGTGTTGTGAAAGCATATTCCGAGGCGTACTGTTCCATTGGGGGTATCAGTATCATGGAAGGATCTGCTGGTTCATCATTTTTCACTTGGCTTTGGGCAATTTGAACCACTAGAATTGGATGGTTGCTTTCAATGAGGGTGTATGTATTACTTGCGTTAAACCCGATGACATATTCGATGAAACTCCCAGCGTCCGGTAGTTTCAACAGTGCTGTCCCTTCGCCTGGAATTCCTGTTATTGAAATCGTAGTATTTGACGCACTGGCAACAAACCTGAACACGTCTCCTAGTTTGTAAATATCTCTACCAGGTATTGGAACAGTGGCAAACCTCTTGCCCCAACTTTCGACAGGCATCAGTTGTTCGACTAAGTGGTCTTGGCTACTTCCATCGCCGACATTGGTTTTCCGATTCCCGCTGAATACAGCTACGGGTTTGTCGGCGTCTATATATGATCCTGTGAGATCGAATTTATTAGAGGCCTGGATTTGGATGGTCTCAAATCTGTTTAATACCACGTGCATGACATCCCCATTGGCATAATTCACTCCTTCATACGCCACATTCGTGGCGCTGCCTTCTGGATGTTGCTGGTGGCCCAGTGTCACAGTTATGTTTGTGTTGTCCTCTGTTGCAACGATTCCTGGGATAATGAAAAATGATTAACGATGGCATTTTCATTTATACAAGAGAGAGAGAGAGAGAGATGGAGCAATCAAATCATTACGACCCTTGGATGAAAGCGGCTTAATTCTAACCTGCCTTCACCTTCAGAAAAAAAAAACGTTTTGAGCGCAACTTAAATATTCTGTTGACTTTGATCTCTTGCAATGTTTCGAAACTATCAAAATTAGTCTTGTTGAAACATATCCTGACAATGACTCATCTTCTTTATAGTGATACGACGTAGCACGTTGGTATGAATTAAACGTTTAACCCACAGAACCGACGCCGGATTTTATTATTATTTGAGCGAATTTATCACTTCTCCAGTCGACAAATGTTTTTCAAATACTTACCAAATTGGCAGCGGCGCTTGGCAGGCGAATATGTCACCGTATAGTATTGCTTCCCCAATACATCGGTTGGTAGTCCTACGAAACCGTCGCACGAATATTTCTGTTTGTTGACACCGTATACAGCCACCTCATCCGTCGCAGATATCCAGAGGCCTTTTGAAGATTTTTCGCAACCGAAATGTCGCAAGTTTTGCGGAAGAAATATCTGCCGCACCTGACCGCTGGTCACGTTGAGCTCCATGTGAACGCTGTCGTCATGGACCCATTTGGGAGTGCTCACGTTGAACTATGGGAGAAAATCGGTTATTTAAACTGTTGAAATAATTGTAAACCTTACCTATTAGATTATTGAATTACGGTAAATTGATGATGATGGATTATTGCCATAATCTATATAAAAACCCTCAATACACCACGTGCTTTGACGACAAAATAAATGTTGACCGTGGTAGCTTGATTTTAAATACTTAAGGGACGGCCATTGCAAGGAAACAAAGCATACAAATACTGTGTTTGACAGTGAAACAATTTATTTTGATTGTTTATATGAAAATGCATTTATCTTTTACATGTGCTTTCAAGTTAATATCTGTAACATCGTTCGATCAGGATCGCGCAGAAACAGCTGCCTCATAAAAAAACGAAAATATATATGTAAGATAGAAAATTTAAAAAAACGTTAAAATAAATGTCGATACTCACGAATACCATATCGGAGGATGTGGTGGTAACGAACAGCTCCAGCATGTAATCTTGTCGAATGATTTTATTTTCGCCAAACATTACCAAAAATTCAGTGCCGAGATAGTCTGGTCCACCTGGTGGCCAAGGATAATAAAACTTGAAACAAAACTAAATTTGGCAAAGATTTGTACACTTTGTAGATTGTCAATGTTAAAATTGTTCTTTAGTCACTACAATTAAGTAATGCAACTTTACAATACCTTCAACTGACGGCACGACGAGAAACAGGATAAGGATGGTAGAAAAATGCATTTTGCTGCATCTAGTAACTTGCCCTGTAATTAAAAAAAAAAAACAAAAAGGAATTCATAAACACACACACACGCACACACAGAGAAAGAGAGAGAGAGGAATCAAAACTTAGGTTATAGGTCAAGCCTTATCAATAAACTGATTTCCATTAGCAAATTATGTGAACTCGGTATAATTAAAAAATTAATTTATCCCACCCATTGGTCTTAACCTTGGATATATGTTTCGAAAACTTGTTTTACAATTTTTAGGCGAAACGGACCCGATTGCTTATTATTTCGAAGTAATATGCAGTACGAAATAAGTTTAAAATATTTCATTGGTCATAAAAAGACCTTTTCACTTATGTTGAAGGAGAAACAATTGTCTCGCGAAATCTCCTTAATTTTATATTGATTTTAAAAATCGATAATCGTATAAAACAAGTTAATCGAAATGTATAATCCATAGACTTTCCTTTGATACAATCACTCACCTCCCTCTGTCCGTCCCTTGTAAATTTCTTTCATATATTGTGTTTTATACGTGTACTGTATTTTTGATCAGTTTCTTACTACTTTTCAGTCACGTGTTACCAATACGACTGAACTGTAAACTTTGCGATATAATCATGGAGAGTGACCAGAGGCACTGTGTACCAAACTGTTCAACTCTCTTCCGAGAACAATTGAAAGTTTTGGTAGTTCAACCCGGTCAGATGTTGCACATATGATTGGGAATACTTCTTTACTTGTACAAATAAAATTGTAAGTAGTATAGGTACTATTAAATAGAATAAATTGCTGCACATCCGAGAGAAAATATAACTAAGCAAAGGCAAATAAGAATTGGAAGTTGGTCCTGAATGATCAAATAAATTGAATTGGTCTGCATCTGAAGAAGACATGACCAATCAAACAATTAAAATGCAAGAATTTATATAGAATAGCACAAATCGTTGCACTTACAAGAGAAAATGCTGCCGTATCAATATATATATATATATATATATATATATATATATATATATAGTTCTAGAATGTTCAAATTATTATAGTATGTGGGCTTATTTGTTCATCTTCGATTATAACTGCAATTAAGTACTAAAAACTTATTTAGATTTTGTTTTGGAGCATGGAAAAAATTATCTAATAATTTTGTTCATGTTCGGAGCAATCAACCATTTTTTTCTAAAAATTTGAGGACACCTGTACTTTTGATCTCGAGTTTGTCAAACTTACGGAAAGCCGTAAGCATGGTGAAAATGTGAACAAAAAATGCATAAAAATCGAGTAGTGGCCATTTTGTTTATCAAGTACACATTCTTACTAATCCAAACTTTTATAAAGTGTGAGTACTTCCTGTTCGTCGATACTTCCATTTCTGACAAATATACAAATATTGACAAAACAGCTGAACAATTTGCTCTCAGAATTACCAAATGATCCAACTGACGTCACGAATCTGTGAGACATCCGCAGGATTTTTAAAAGCACGCCCTGGGTCATGGCTTTTAGATGAGATATAGAGAAGCATATTTGGATTTTAAGATCTACCTGAGGCGAAACAATAAAATTCAGGTAAATGTCACCGTGACCGAAGTGGGGCCTTTGTCTGACCTCTGCGTCCCAAGGAGCGCACTATTTTACCCCGCGAGACATGTACTTTTAAGCACATTGACATATGTATGTAATGCTCTGTATGAACGAATGGAGCTAGGAGGCTGAGGTGGGGAATTCTTATTTTACTTTTTTTAAGGCAAAGGGGCGATGTATCAAAAGTAAACAAGTTTTTGATTAACGCCTTCAGATATTCTCTACAATGGTATGAGTAATGAAAGTTTTGAAAATAACAACCTTTTGGATAATATTTGCATGTTTTAATGCTAAGAAAATTTATATTGCCACAAAGGGGTCTTACTGCTGCATTTTGTCCCCAGCTTTAATTTCTTTTTCACAATGCCTGGTAACGAAGGATTTGCAAATTACTTTCTACTGGTTTGAAAATGCAGTTTTGTCGTGTTTCGTGTGAAACTGATTTGAAGACTTTATTTATTGCTAAATATTGCAAAAGCAACTGAAAATATTGACATACGACAAAAGACGTCAGGGAGGTTTTTATTTTTCAATTTTTAAAAGCCAGGCGACACCGCGAAAGCTATTAATTGCGTTATTTAAAAAGAACATTCTAGACATTTTTAGACGTTAGGCATCACATTCGCTTCCAGATCGATTGGAGAATGAAAGATGAGTGCTGCAAGCGACAGTAACGAAGGTTTATTTATTATTATTATCATTATTATTATTATTATTATTATTATTTGTGTGTGTTTATGTGTTTGTCAGAACTGATAAATCTAGTGATTACTTTTTCAGGCATTTAAGTTTTAAACTGATGTTAAAAGTTCCACTTGCATAAACAATCCTTCCCTTTGCTTACTTTTAATAAAATAAAAAAAAAAGTTAAATGGACATGTATATATTGCCAATCAGTATTCATAACACAGATAACCCATGCGTAAATTTTTCAAACTTCATTTATATCACAATTGAAGATTCTTACAAATTCAAAAGTGCGTATTGTGGTAGATGCGATGAGAGAAGTTCTACGTAGCTCATACGTGTACGTCCATTGCATTGTCATTTCTCCCTCTTCTTTTCTGCAGTATGCTGTCCGTTTTCGTCTCTTTTTCTAATGTGCGTGTGTTGTTGTTATCTTTTAGTTGTCCTGCATGTTGCTTATCACATTTTCAACGGATTATTTGGAGTTGCCTTAAGCAAGGAATTATAACAGATGTAATATACGTAAAGAGATTCTCAGTAGAGATTCGCTGTCTGATGTCTCTTAATACCGGTGTCTCAACATGTTTCTTGTGTTAGGTTATAATTAATCTTTGTAAAAAGGTTCTCGGCAGTGATCTGTTGTTCTTGGCTCAAGGGAAAGACTGGGTCCACTGCAGTTTGGATTAAAGATTCTGCTAAACTAGGAAGAAGTTTTCTGAAAGACCAAGTAAATAAATAATTATTTCCACAACTAAGTAAAAGTAAATGCTGCATTTGCACCACATACCAGGTATATATGTCACCTGACAGCTAGGTGACATATAAGCTAAATGATTTTCAGCCAATTGTGAAAACAAAATTAAAGACATAAGCTGACTCGCTAGTCCTTTTCATTTCTTTATGTAAATATCATCATTATTTAGTATGAACAACTGATGTGGTTACATATTGAAAAAAAAGATGTCTTTAAAAAAAAGAGGAGGGGGTAGCTGAATGCACAGTCTTAGGTAGAGGAAAGGCTGCATTACACGTATGTGAACATTGAATGATGGCCAGCCAAATATTGGTTAGCAATAGCTCTTGTTTTAGCTGTTTGTTGAAGAAACTATACAGTGTGGTTGTATTAGTTTGCTATTGACAATAAATATCCTACTTTGCACATGCTGGAGACCCATTGACTTCAATCAGCCAGACTTTGAAAGCTTCATCGATCATAAAGTCAAATCCAAATAACTGGAAACTTTTATAGGCAAAACCAGCTGTAGACAAGTGTTCCTTGCATGCTTTGAAACACTCAAGGATGATGTTCTCAATCTGAGGTAGAATACTGGCTGACAAGGTCACAGAGTGCTGACTTTGGAGATATCTGAAAAATAGACAATAAGGCTATTAAACAAATAGAAAAGAAAGAAAAAAAACAGAAAAACAATTCACATTTGGTAACTTCCAGTGCAAATTGTTCATTACAAACAACATTATATCACCCAAATTAGAATAATTTTGAAGATTTATTTCCTTTTTGGTGGTTGGTTTGAATGGTATCTTAACAAAATGGTCAACATGTAGGAAAAACTATAACAGAGGTTCTTAGAGAGCATACCAATAAAATTACAACTAAATTCTTAATTTTTTCAAAGTGCCTTAAAAACCAAACTTACCTGTTAAACTCATCAAAAAACAATTCATTTCCTTCCTCATATTTGCCATAGTTTTGTGAGTGTTCCTGCAGGCAATGGTTGGTGAGATGGCTGGTCAGGTCTGTCAGGTCTGTGGCATTGTAGGGCTCTGAGGACGTGCGCAGTACACCTTCCTTGTACAAATAGATATCAAACTGGGTGTCAACCAGGACCCAAGATCTGAAATAGCAAACATTAATATAACAAAAGTGATAGCTCATTCTAAAACTGCAATTAAAAGATTTTAACAATTACAAGACATGAAAAATTGCAATCAATAGATGTTTTACAATTATGAAACATATACAGTAAAATATGTTGGCATACAGTTCCACTTTTATACAAGAGTCAGTTTCAATTAGAACTGTTACAGATCCATGCAGATAATATTATTTGTTCACTTCAATCATGTCAGTTCTTTTATACCATTTTATTAAAGGTAGTTCTACTTGTGTTATGTGAGAGATTCAAATTACCTGATATCAAACTTCCTGTCTCCAGAAAGCAACAGAGGCTTTTCCAAGTACTTCTGAACTATATGAGCTTGTGATTTTGAATCTGTAAAGTGGAGAATTTCTTCCACATCACTTGATATCAACACACCTTGACCTGCAAAATGTCATTGTACTGATGTTGACATTGTTTGAATCAATCAAGTCCATTAAACTAATCTCTGAAATCAAACTTCAACAGATCAATACATAACAGTATAAACCCTTCAGTTCAGTGTGTTAGAAAAATATACTAGTCCTACTGCTATATTACTACTACCACTGTTTCAGTTTCTCAATTTTCTTTTAGCTTAGCCTGGGTTCACATGCCTAGATTGATCCGTTAAAATCCATTTAAATGTCTGTCATGCCTACCATATCAGCTAGGGCAAAGATAATTACCCCCTAACAGCTTTACTAGGCATGACAGACGTTTAAGCCAGTTAAGTTGATGGCAATTTAGTTAGACTCCCCAGGGAGATAGATCAATCCAAATATCTGTGGGAATGGTCCCTTAATGTTTAAAAAATAAAAAGTCGGACAAATATTTCAACCTTTGTATATTTATATATATATATGATAGTTACCTTTAGCTCCAGCAGCTGATTTCACAATCCAAATGCAGCCTTTTCCTTCTGACCTTACTCTCTCAAAATATTGTTTAAATTCTTCTCTCTCATCTGTTTTGATGCTTCTTTTCTTTTGAGCTATAAATGATTTCAAGTCTGATTGTTCTTCTTGCTCTGGTGTAATATTAGGATATAATATAAAGGATGGTGGTAACCATTCAAAAGGCTCTTGACCCGTCTCCTTCCACTGTTTACAAAGTGTGCTGTATAAGAAAAATAATTACAGCAGTTAATGATGGTCCCCATGGTACCCCACATGGAACAAATGAGTAAATAATTTGCACCCATTACATACACCCAGAAAACAGGGATGAATAATACTGTAAATCATCAATATTCTCTCTTGCTATGTCTATTTGGGATGCTATACACTAAACAAAATAATTAATTCATATATAAAATATATTTCTAGCCACACATTTTCTGATACTCAATTTATGCAATATAATGCATGTATATACATGTAGGTAAGTACATGGAATATAAAATGAAAAAATACTATAACAATATTGGTGGCTACTTGAAATAATCAATGAAAACCCCACCTTTCTAGTAGCCTCTATTATATGACTATTCCTTTTTATAACATTTCCTACATAATCAAGAGCCACTTTGTTTTTTCCACAAGGAAATCTTGTATACATGTAAGTGCAGCATTTCCACCCCTGCATGTGGCTGTGGAGAAATAAAGTGTCCTATGTCATACCTGACCATGGAAGTTTTCCTACACAGACATCCCGAGCCTCTATAATAATTCACAATCTGAACGAACCCAGGTTCATGGCCTGTAAAAAGAAGCAGAATTAAGTTGAATTTAACTGGGTTAAAATTAACTGGGTTAAAAAAAGTAAACACACTAATTGGGATCATGTTTGTAAATGACGACCTGATATTCAACAGTAATTCATTGTTTTTTGCAACGTGGTGAGATTCTGAAAGTGAGAGGATGAAATCTAATTGAAACTAAAAATCAAGCATAATAATCAAGCAAGATAAGCATTTTAATAAGATCATTGAACAGCAGTGATACTATAATTAACACAATCATGTACCAGCTTAACTTGCATTTGCACCTTGCTGTATATAAAATGCAGCACAAGCACATGTATAACTATAGCAAAGCACATATACTGTACAGGGGTGTATGTACCAGTATGATGTACCGGTGTATGTGTACTAAATACCCAGTCTTCCATATGGCAATCCGTTTCTCTCCCCCAGCATAAGATTGAATTTTGGGCTTTCCCTTGCCACGCGTTTCCACACATTTCCCCTGGTTTCAAGTAGAATGCTTGAGACTGCACTGTACACACTGCTTCCGTCATCTCGGGATACGAAACTATACATGCCAAGTCTTCATTCAGGTAAATTCACTGATTCAGTCATTCGAATACAATTATCTAAAACTTTTAGGTGCACCTTAAGCCAAGTGCCCGTCGCTGACTTTTGGTATGTCTACCAGCACATTGGGCCTGCATCAACTTTGAAATAGAATTTCGTTAGTTATCCAAGGGTGCATCGCACATGCACATTGCAAAATATTAAATCTTCAACTGCCTGCGCCCAAGTGCACCGTCGGACGCCAATACCATTACATGTACCAGTAGTACCCCAGGAGTAGATCTACAGCATAAAGCCGGCAAAGATAGGTCTATTTATACAAGTCATTTCAAGAATCATCGATTACTCGACGGTTGAACACCTGAGACAAAGTGCTGCATTACATTACAAAGTCCTTTGAGTCTATATCTGTGGTAATTTTCCACTTAACAAACAAGGGTCAGTGCTTCTTCTGATCAACGATGTTTACATTGGTTTCAATATGGCCGCTTCGCGCGAAGTCAAATATTCTGATTGGCGAACACAGAATGACGTAACTTATCTAGGCCTATAGACGTGTCAAGGAAGGGAGTCGCGCTAGAACCACAAGGTTTTCAAACAACAAAAAGTAATCCAAATAACGCAAGAATAAAAGTTCAATTTTATGCTATTACCTTTATTACAATAAATTTATTACTTTACATTTATTTTGTCATTAATCCATCAGGCGTTGGGGAAATGAAAAACTGCACTGTCTTATTTCTATTATGAAAACACCACTTAAAAAAATCAAATGTGTGGTCAGGCCTAAAATTATCATCACCTAGAATTACCCATCTTCGAAAATTTTAGTGAACTGAAAATAAGAAAGAAGTTTTATACTGGGGGTGTATCCAAATTTGAAAAACAATACTTGACACCGTCCCAATGAGCACAGCTAGCGCAATGAACATGGCAACCTGCTCAAGGACTATCAAGACCAACATACGTAAATGAGTCAGCCTGTGTGTGTGTGTGTGTGTGTGTGTGTGAGAGAGAGAGAGAGGGAGAGGGAGAGAGAGAGAGAGAGAGAGATACCTCCTGCACAAACTATTTAGGGAATGACAACCGATGGAGGTCTACGGAGTGAGAGTAATTTCACCTAATAGACCTAGGCCTACAATATTTAGTCTAAAATGCTTTCATAGAAGAGAAAACATGAGTGTTTATCCATCCCACCCCACCCCCCGACCTGTGCCTCACCAGAAAGGGGAAATGATACAATGAATCCCACAGACCTCTGATAAAGGGACTGAGNGTACATGGAATATAAAATGAAAAAATACTATAACAATATTGGTGGCTACTTGAAATAATCAATGAAAACCCCACCTTTCTAGTAGCCTCTATTATATGACTATTCCTTTTTATAACATTTCCTACATAATCAAGAGCCACTTAATTTTTTCCACAAGGAAATCTTGTATACATGAAAGTGCAGCATTTCCACCCCTGCATGTGGCTGTGGAGAAATAAAGTGTCCTATGTCATACCTGACCATGGAAGTTTTCCTACACAGACATCCCGAGCCTCTATAATAATTCACAATCTGAACGAACCCAGGTTCATGGCCTGTAAAAAGAAGCAGAATTAAGTTGAATTTAACTGGGTTAAAATTAACTGGGTTAAAAAAAGTAAACACACTAATTGGGATCATGTTTGTAAATGACGACCTGATATTCAACAGTAATTCATTGTTTTTGCAACGTGGTGAGATTCTGAAAGTGAGAGGATGAAATCTTATTGAAACTAAAAATCAAGCATAATAATCAAGCAAGATAAGCATTTTAATAAGATCATTGAACAGCAGTGATACTAATTAACACAATCATGTGCCAGCTTAACTTGCATTTGCACCTTGCTGTATATAAAATGCAGCACAAGCACATGTATAACTATAGCAAAGCACATATACTGTACAGGGGTGTATGTACCAGTATGATGTACCGGTGTATGTGTACTAAATACCCAGTCTTCCATATGGCAATCCGTTTCTCTCCCCCAGCATAAGATTGAATTTTGGGCTTTCCCTTGCCACGCGTTTCCACACATTTCCCCTTGTTTCAAGTAGAATGCTTGAGACTGCACTGTACACGCTGCTTCCTTCATCTCGGGATACGAAACTATACATGCCCAGTCTTCTTTCAGGTAAATTCACTGATTCACTCATTCGAATACAATTATCTAAAACTTTTAGGTGCACCTTAAGCCAAGGGCCCGTCGCTGACTTTTGGTATGTCTACCGGCACATTGGGCCTGCATCAACTTTGAAATAGAATTTCGTTAGTTATCCAAGGGTGCATCGCACATGCACATTGCAAAATTTTAAATCTCCATCTGCCTGCGCCTAAGTGCACCGTCGGACGCCAATACCATTACATGTACCAGTAGTACCCCAGTAGTAGATCTACAGCATAAAGCCGGCAAAGATAGGTCTATTTATACAAGTCATTTCAAGAATCATCGATTACTCGACGGTTGAACACCTGAGACAAAGTGCTGCATTACATTACAAAGTCCTTTGAGTCTATATCCGTGGTAATTTTCCACTTAACAAACAAGGGTCAGTGCTTCTTCTGATCAACGATGTTTACATTGGTTTCAATATGGCCGCTTCGCGCGAAGTCAAATATTCTGATTGGCGAACACAAAATGACGTAACTTATCTAGGCCTATAGATGTGTAGGAAGGGAGTCGCGCTAGAACCGCAAGGTTTTCAAACAACAAAAAGTAATCCAAATAACGCAAGAATAAAAGTTCAGTTTTATGCTATTACCTTTATTACAATACATTTATTACATTACATTTATTTTGTCATTAATCCATCAGGCGTTGGGGAAATGAAAAACTGCACTGTCTTATTTCTATTATGAAAACACCACTTAAAAAATCAAATGTGTGGTCAGGCCTAAAATTATCATCACTTAGAATTACCCATCTTCGAAAATTTTAGTGAACTGAAAATAAGAAAGAAGTTTTATACTGGGGGTGTATCCAAATTTGAAAAACAATACTTGACACCGTCCCAATGAGCACAGCTAGCGCAATGAACATGGCAACCTGCTCAAGGACTATCAAGACCAACATACGTAAATGAGTCAGCCTGTGTGTGTGTGTGTGTGTGTGTGTGTGAGAGAGAGAGAGAGGGAGAGGGAGAGAGAGAGAGAGAGAGAGATACCTCCTGCACAAACTATTTAGGGAATGACAACCGATGGAGGTCTACGGAGTGAGAGTAATTTCACCTAATAGACCTAGGCCTACAATATTTAGTCTAAAATGATTTCATAGAAGAGAAAACATGAGTGTTTATCCATCCCACCCCACCCCCCGACCTGTGCCTCACCAGAAAGGGGAAATGATACAATGAATCCCACAGACCTCTGATAAAGGGACTGAGAGCAAAATGGTGGATGCCCCCCCCCCCCAACATTAACACCTAGATCCGTCTGAAGGTTAAGTAGGCCTAAAAAATGACACAAGAGAGGATTGAATTAGCTTCTTAAATCCATAAAACCATCTACATGTACAAATGTCAAGATGAAATGTATTTTCAACATTTACCAATTCTTGTCAGTACTTCAACATTGACTTTCATAGGGTTTTTTTTCAGCTTTTCTATCACCGCCTATTAACAAGCAATGGTAAACAGTTAAAATATAAAAAAGAAAAGTTATTCCAAAAATTTGCTGTTGGCCTCCTCATAACTGAGCGATATGTTTTTTGCTTTATTATCGCAAGATGCTTAGTGTCTTATTCAATCATTTTTGATAAAACCAACAGGTGGTTGTACTATAGTATGCTTGCAATAGAAACTGCACTAAAGGAACGTATTTTTTCTAACGATACTTTATTCTACAATCTTTTTATTAGGTGCTTGCCATATATCCGACAGTCTATTAAGTGCCAACGACTTTAGGGGGTGATTCTGTCACTTCTGACACATTTAGATATGATGGAAAATTACATAAAACTTGAACAGATGTTAGAAACGAGAAAAAATACATTTCATAAACCTTTGTGTACTTGAGGTTTATGGACCCTTGCAGAAGTGGATCAGATCCAATATAAAATTTAAGATAATAATTATTGAGGCTTGTCATTGCCAGGTTTAAGGATAAATTGGGCCCGGGCAATTCAATTTAACAATATTCCGGGATCGTCTTGTATATAGAGTATCGGTATTTTTTTCAACATATCATTACCAAGCCCAGGACAAAATTTATGTTGTAATTATAAAAGGTTTCAAGCATGAATTCATTAACTCAGTTTGAACGTCTACAAAGTTCTACCACGATTTCATCTGAAGGCGTTGCAGCTCGTTTCTAAATGCGTTTTTATGTCAACCGCTGAAAGTTCTTCCATAAACTAATCCCAAGAACTCCTGTCATGCTCTCCCGTGGTCTAAGAACAACATTAGTCCTCTTCCTCATTAACTTTTTTCCTCAGCTTTTCGTACATCATTAGCAGCCGAACACTTCTTACAAGAAAGACCTACAGTTTGTGGGCTGTAGAGATTACATATAAATCACCAGAAGAAAGTATGCTTTCATGGTCAATTTGAGTGACATGCACCTCCTGATGTGGCCGTTCTGGGCTATAAAAAGGTTTTAGAAAGCACACACGAATTTGAAATATTCCAAAAAATATTATGGCCATGTTGATGAATCATTAAATTCATACTGCGCCTTAATTAAATTTCACAAGACAGTCGCACGCAGTTCCTTTTAAATTTTGTTAATTCCGGGAATGATTGACGCGTTTGTGGAGACACTTTATCCCCCCAGCAAACGCAATTAGAGAGGTCACCGCGGAGACATGTTATTTCACTGAATACACTATCCCTGAACTTCCGAAGCATCTCTATCATTTTATGAGTGGTAGAAAGTTTGCGGTTGAAGCGTCAGAATGCAAAGGCTTGATCATGCGAGGCAAAAGCAGCCACCATCTGTTTCTGTAGCTGGAATGGTATGCTTGCATACGCGTATGCGTTAGTTGTAGTTATATTTGATTGGTTTGTTTGTTTAATAGTCTTGGAAACGCACATAAACTGGCTGATATTAAAGTTATTTATCTAGCGTATGATTGCGACATCAATTGAATGACGTATGCGGGTATGCAAAAGTGTGTACAAGTTGGACAAAGAGTATCGACAACGGTCAGACATGAACGATTATAGGTGAGCATGCTATGTTTGGTGAGAAAATTACTTGTCGTATGCGTGTGACGTGCATATGTGCCAATTGTTGAAATATGTATTTCCGTATTTGATGTGTGTGCAGGGTACTTGTGCTCACCGAAGCAAAGTAAAATAGAATATCCACGGGCAGAAAGGTATACCTGAAGGAATCGACTCACTAAACGTTTTTCCGTTACTAACAACAAGTATTTTGAATTTCTTCCGCTCACAAGGGCTGTCCTTTTTATATTATTTTAGTACATACGGTAGAGTTTTAATAGCGGGTTTTGACGTTTAAATGAACACTCAGAACAACTGCAAAACAGTAGAAAATATCTACTCACAAAAATATAAATAAGTATTTTGAAAAATGGCCTTTATTTTACAAGAAAAAGTGCTCATAGGATAATTTACAAGGGATATGAAATATCATATCTAGGTGTTTATTTAACACCACTGCGCGTTACTCAACAACACTGCGACTGACCAAAGAAGTAGAGTTGCCCATAAGTAGATCTAACGTGATTATTTTCACAAGGAAGCTCAGATTCTCACTGGGACGCTTATCACAGTGCCACATCAGTTTGCGATCTGTCCACGCTGTTTGTGTAGTTCCCCCACCCGTCTGTGGTTCTCCATCAACTTTTAACCGCAACCTTCTCAACGGGCCAGACTGATACGTCGAGGAAATCCTATCTGGTCTGTAGTCGTAATTTATACTTATTTTTTTCAAATTGGAATTGCTATATTAGGGGAAATGTGTTTGGGGGGCAATACCGTGTTTATTGTGCCAGTTAATTCGAAAGATAAACTTTTCCTGCTCATCTCCCATCGAATAACGTAGGTATTTTCTGGAACGTATTATTCGTAATTAATAAATTATTCATTTTAGGTCTATTTTTGACCAGCAATCCGCAACGAAAACAACAAACTTTAGTCACTACACAACGCATCGTTTGATGAATGGTTAAAATGGGAAATGCTATTACTAATTCACCGTATTACGGATTATTTCGATTTCCTTCCCTAAGTGCTGGCAATATTCTACTAATTGATTAAACCATCAGCTTTTAGCCTTTAGTGTAGCATAATGTGACAACGTTTCCTGTTTTACAAGCTGAATCAATATTCCATTTTTTTGCTCTTTTTTTCAAAAGCAAATTGATAGCTATCGCACGCGCACAAAAAGATGGGCAGAGAACGCATTAACGCAACTCCTCCCAGAAAATAGTTAATAATAGCAGCGTGAAGCCTGTCATATCGGTCTTTGTCCCCTCCTACAAGATTTCATGATACTCTTTCTATTTATTTATTGATCCAATAAATGGAATTAACGGCACTTGGGAGTAAACGTGGTCGCTGAATTTTGCCGTACCTGAATTGGGCGTGTCTTGTGTGTTGGTGGCAAAGAAACGCTCTCACAGAAAAGCCCTTGGTGGAAACGTCACTGTACACATCAAAATAATGCAATTAAGGTTAATGATTTCTATCACAACACCCAGACCTATTCTCTTAACCATCCAGGAGAATATTTTTAATCGCTTGCAAATTTTCTATTGTTCTGGGGCTAGTGGGCCCGCGTGGGATGCTTAGCTCGAGCCGCCTGGTGGCAATTGCTGGATGTTTGTACAGCTATTCATCATTTCGGCCACTCAGCTGGCTGATATATATACGTGCTTTCTCACTGCCTGGGATTACTACCAATGTTACTATTACGGCAACACGCGTTCGGAGCGACTGCAGCCAGTGCAGGATAGTACATATAGTAACAGTGGAAAGTAAATACCAGAGTCATTGGTGACATTTTCTGATTCAGAGAGCGGTCTTCATGACAACACCGATATAATGAAATTTTATCAAATTTCATGTGAATTGGGGATTGTTTTAAACCTCATAGTTATAGTGTGCGCTACACAAAGTGAGTTTGTTAATTTATCTACGTTATCATTCCCTGACAGGAAACGCCATTACGAGCAATTCCATAGGAAATATACGAAGAGGGGACATTGGAAGAATAAGCCAGCTTTGAAAAAGATGTATTGTGATGTTTTAGAGAAATACGCCACATTATTACAGAAACTAACAGGGCGTGATGCACTGCATGAAATGGCCGGGAGGCAATGGGAAGACAGTAGACGGTACAGACGTGAAGTTCGAAATGACATAGAGTACCAGGTGTACGGCAAGGTAGTGCACAGGAAAAAACCTGAAGTGAACCCTCTAGGCAAATTCTTTAGCAGTCTAAACTCTAGGACTAAACGTGGATTGCGCTCGTCCGGGAGTACGAAGAAACTCACCGAAAGAATACGAGAAATCATGGAGCTAACCCACAGGCTCGAGCACAGAGACAATAGCCACGATACAGTCATAGACGGGTCGGGTGATGGAGAAGTGGGCCCAACCGATATCGTTATCTCTACTACTTCGACCAACAGGGGCACTGAAAGCGCAGGGTCCGCGGAGAATAATAACCATTCCATTCAAAAAGTACCTAGAAAGAAAGACAACCCGCACGTGTCAGATTGTGACGAATCTTACAGGCATTACTGCTTTAACGGAGGCACGTGTTTCCGTGTGAAGGCTTTGAATCAAACCTCTTGCAGGTGAGTGTCAAAATGACAAACAGGACTTCTAGTAAACTTCTTGCAGCGTGTAATACTTGTAGCTTGTTACGCAAACAGTTGGATCTTTAAGTAAGCATGTAATGCATATCATGCAGTAGCATTAGTTTGGCTTGCAGGTAGCCGTGTCGTATGTAATGAGGAACGATGGGGCAATTGATCCTGCAGTGGGTTGTTTTCATAATCACAGTGCCTTAAATATAACGCTAAAAGAAAAATGCGGAATGCGTTTTTAGTTTAAGTCACCAATTATAGCCTAGGCGCAATGAAACAATCAGGGTTGATACTTAGTAACAGAATGGATAGGAGTAACCAATATGGCTTTGGGAGTTTCAGAATTAGAAACGGCATTCTAAAATTGCGTGATCCATTGCCCCTTCTCAGCACGTTTATCACTACTTGTATCCAGCAGACTCTCCAATGTTCGTCCTATCTAACGCAGTATTTGGGTAAGTGTCCCGAGGCATCGATGTATCTTAACAAGATATCGGGGTGCTTACTGCGTGTGCGGTTGATCGTTGGCATAACCCAATGGAATATGAGAATTGAAAATGATAACGTTACACATTTTTCTTGCGTCAAAAGGCAGTGGCTGTCATCTCTTGTATTGTTTCTGTACCGATTAAGCCGCACGCACGCTTGAAACGACCCACACCAAATAAAGTGTGATTATGTAGAGAATCGTGCCACTTTTTATTATCACTTCCTACATGGGCGGATATGTCGAGAACTCTACCAAATGTTTATGTCGAGCCCATGTTAAACACTGGTAACAGCTATTCATCATTTCGCCCAACTTACAAAAAAGGAGAGAATGGGAAAAAAAACAGTTACAAAACCACAAAAAAAAAAGTTTTCAAAAAATTTAAAAAGCAAATATTTCACGTAGCAGCCTCACTGAACTAAATTGTCCACATGTAGAAATAACATGAGCGACGCCGGGGACATCAGATGCATGAAATTATTTAGGAGGTGAACATGAAACGCCGCGCACGTGTGCTTTACTGGGTCTTTTGGTATGCTGTCACTGTCAGTTCCCCGAGTTCAACCAAAGGCATGGAACCTTTAACCAAGTTTTTATTGCCATGTTTTGCTGTTGTGATTAACTGTGCAGAGTTCAAAACAACAGCAAAATTAAAAAAAAAAAAAAAGATGAAGAATATTTTTCGAGGTTTAAAATCGAAGTAATTGTCATTATTTGTTTACAAACAAAAGTCCGGTAGTCGAGGGCAGAAAAGTTTGAGTGGGCCTATTTAATAAATGCACCTAATTTAAACGAGTTTAATTGGGATATGATAAAAAATGCACACGGCAACGAGAAAACAGGCTGCAGAAACACTGGGAAAGTTGACACCAGATATTGGGCATGGCATTATGTTAAAGAGCATAATGATGTTACGGGACTCTGCAGGCGTTCTGGCCGTAACTCGGACCGTCACTGTGCGCGGGCGTCATGTTTAAGCTCTTAATTTTAACTACCCCCACGTTGACAGTAATTATTGGAACAACTGACTGAGCAGTTGAAATTTTCGAATTTTTCTATGTTCTTACCCGCAGTTGTCCCGAAATCGAATTGGTAATTTTCTGTTGCCTGTTGTTATATCTCAGCTGGTAATTTTTTTGTTAGACAATAGAAAACATAGGGAATTACATCAACGGAATGAAAAAAATCTTCTGAACATGTGGTATACGACCGTTCCCAATGCAGCTCCCTTTCCCTTTCTGGACAAAACGTCCAGTGACCTTCGTAAGTGTCCTGCCACATGGTCCTTTTAAGACCCCCACACGACCGTCATCTGCCGTGTAGCAATCTAAAAACATCAAAACCAATCTTTCATAGTCGGTAATTTAAATTTCATGCCAGTGAAAGCTAGCTTCTAAATTACATGTCAAAGTCGTTATAGGTCTTGGGTCAGGACCCCTGTTCTAAAATTTGCTCCGTTAAATAGAATACTTTGATGCTCGTCAGCCTAGGGGATGTTTTAGATTTTCTCAGGTTGATTCCAAATCTCCCCCACAACTCGTTACCACTTGACACTGCTCGCTCGATTTCCTTTCCACCGGTTGGAAGAAAGCATTCCTGAAACATTGGCAGTAAACAGGGCCATACACCGAGTTTATAGGTTCCATAAAAATAATCATTAAATTTTTGATGTCTACGAAAGGAAATACCTCTATGTTTTGACCTAAAACGTGCAGATCGATTTTTTTCTGAATACGATGCCACCTTTTCCGGAAACCGTTAAAATATCTAACTTATGAATAGAACAATAAATCAAGAACACTACAACTGATACATATTTTATCTTAAAAAGCTTATGTATAAACTGCAAAGAGTCACTCCACACTTAGACGGGGCCAAAGATCTGTAAAGACCCTGCAAATCCCATTGCTTTTGTATATTGTAGTCCATGATAAGTACTTCACAGCAGTTTATCGCTTTTGCTTTAACGAAGTGTCACGGTCTTTATTACCGTTTTTGGCAGCTGGCGCGCGGAGAGCAAACGCTCGGGACAGTGTCACGCTGAGGGCATCGCTCACAAGTTCCCCTTACATTTGTTCAAAAGTTCAGAAAGACATTTTAGGGCCTAGTGCTCGTAAAACACGTTGAAAGAAACAAGATCCTCGACAACGTTACGAGAGCCATTGTGTAGTAAGAGCTGTCCATTCGTAAAAGCAATCCTGTTGCCCACAGCTTCCGGTATAAATCAAAGAACTCAAGAACAAACCGACACAACCCGCTCTCTATTATGGTCTTTCAAGGTAACTTATGCGCATTCCTTTCTGAACATTTGTTGGAATCCTACACTTTGTGGACTGAATTTGGAGTAGGGAGACATTTGACAAAGCTGTGCCGCGAAATAGGGACATTAGACGTAATTAACTCGCGACGTAAGAAATTTAATACTCAGCTAAATCGTTCGCGTGTATAACTTTGTGCAGAACTGTCAGACACACCAATAAAATAATTTCTACGCTTCGGCGCGCCCTAAACAAAAAGGTCTGGTTTTTAAGATACAATACTAAATCAAGTGCGAACAAAGTGAACTGTAAAGTAGACATTCACATCTGTGTGGAGTTGCTAAAATATGTTAGTTCAGTTTGCATTCCTTTCGCTTTGATGACTTCTGCGGCTGCCTTGCTTAGCCTAAATGGAAATCACGTTAACAAATGTTTCTTGTGCTCGAGAACTCCCCGAATAATTTCTGAATGTCTATTTAAAGAGCGCGGTTACTATAATTAAACACGAGGAAATCGGGTAGAAGCCACTATTGTTACCATTCAGCTTCCTTCATATGATATAACATTACAGGAAAACGAGATTTCAAAGTCGCGAATACAATGCCTGATTAATTCTTTTTAACTAAATGTATCTCTGAGGAGTGGGGCATGTTTTGAGGTCAAAGGCAACCAGGAAACAGTTGATGCAATTTTGATGGCAAAACACTACCGGTTTGAAGCATCGAGGTAGAAGAAACTTGCTTTATGAGCGTGCAAGCAACTCTTATGATTCACGCGAGCACATTTTTTTTGTTAGGAGCATAAGTCAAAAATTGATCAGAGCGAACATATGTACCTCGGAAGCCATGGGCTGCGAAAATGAAAAATTGGCCAAATACAGGCACGTCTGTCCGTCTGTTTCGGGCCACCCTCAGCATATATATATATATATATATATATATATATATATATATATATATATATATATATAAAAATATAAGTGTGTTTTGTTATTGTTAGATACAGGTCCACAAATCACGCTTGGAATCCCACTCATTTTTGCCGTAATAACGACTTTATTTTGTTATGCTTACTATGCAGTAATCACCGTTGAGTTTCTAGTTTAGGCAATCCAGTTCGATATGCGCATTTCTCTTTCTAAACGTGGGTGGCAAGCGTTTGACTTTGGAGAAGTCAAAATTCATATCCATTTACCTTCGGTCAGGCGGGTGCTTTAATCTCGGACTAAACGTCCTAAATTCCTTTACTCTTACTATTCCAACGCCATAAATGATGCGTCAGTGACTAATAGAAAATGATGACCAATCAACCGGGGGTTTTCTTAGCTGAATCACCAGATTTATTGTGGCTAGATAAGTGATTTTAATAACAAGGGAAAAAACTAGACAGACACTTTTTATGTGGCTTTCTAAATCTTTAAATAGAAAGCCATAGACAAAGAGAACGATCAATGTAATTAAAATTAATTCGAAGCCAACGTATTAACATAGAATCACGGTGACCGCTCAAGAAAATCCAAGCAAAGCGTTCGTATACTTTGGACAGGTGTTGCATGGTACCGTAGAATGCGGTAGAGGCATGACTCCACACCTGTCCTGAACTGCTCCTGCTTTAATTTATGTACCTAAAGAAACAGAACAACGACTGAACACTATGAAAGTTTGCGTGTCGCTGCGAAAACAAACGAAGCACACAAATTGTAACATTTTCCTTCTAATAAATGTGTCTAGAAGGCTTAAGTTCAAGGTCGCCATGTGCTGCGAAAAAAGGCATGGTAGGTATGCTGATGATAATGAAAAAAGCCTCACCTAATTTACAGACAGAAATGGACTTCTAGATTGCAGATAATCCTTTTTGAGATTTACTCTTTCCATATAGTGCCTATCAAACGTGAAAGCGTTTTTCATTTTGCGGTCTGCGAGAAAATGCATACAACACGTTATTGTGCCGATAAACGTTATTATGTCACTAACAGTGCGGCTAGAGGTTTAAAACTGATCGCGTGCAGCATTAACTACCAGCCATTAGTGCTACCAATTTGACATAGACGCCCGTTTAACCTTGCAACATTAGCGCACTCTTTACTCAAATCTGCTATGTTTAGTAGAAATGTTTCTAATTCTAAACCTCTGATTACTTTCCCTGTGCCTCTGATGCTTTCAGAATTGACTGAAACTACATCATCGTTTCTTAAACAGCCATTCAATTGACTACGAGCGCTGTTAGGGCGCCGAGATGCACTTAAACAAATAGATATGTCATAGAGCGACGTTAGATACATTAAGATGTTTGCGCTGCGATATCACTGAATGTACATTTGCAGCAAAGTCGCAGGCTTTAATAATTTTATAACAGTATTAATTACTTGTGGATGTTTATTTCATAGCGATCATCTTGTATTGCAGTTGCCCAGAGGGGTTTACGGGGAACCGATGCCAAGAACACATCAACCGGAGCGTTCTCCAGGTTTTGGAGTACGGGATATTTATTGGTGCGGCGGGAATTGAAAATTTGGCCATAGCCTGTGGAAAACCTGAATACATCTTTTTACGGCCTGATATTCGGGATAAGATTTAGGGTAAGTTTTTTAACGTGATAAAATATGATATCTATATTTTCAGTGGCGGATTTGGGGGGGGGGGGTGTCGAAGCGGGTGGTGGCCCTGACCCCCCCTTCGATTTCTGAAAAAAAATCACAGCAATGGTCCCCTCTTGAATTTAGAATTTTGACTAACTGAATCATAGTTCTAAACCGGACCAAATGACACCGTTCGCCCTCTAAAATAGCAAATATTTTCGAACCCGTAAACCACACGCCAAGGGGGTGGAGACGGTCGGCTTTGCATCCGCGGCCTGTCATTTAAAAAAAAAAAAAAAAAACGCCCCCCCCCCTTCAAATAATCCTGGATCCTCCCCTGATTATCAGGCTGTTAGAAAAGAATCTATGAAAATGGACATTTTACTTTGAAAGGGCATAAAATCTTTGTTCCCATATCACTGAATCTGATGGTCAGTGGATGACTTAAGCCACTTTTTTGCTTTACTCATTAACTAAACAAAAACACCTCATGCAACTGTCAGATAAGTACTAAAAGCTTTGTGAAAGCTTTGAGGGTGGTAATTATCTCAAAGCCGCCATGTGGATTCACATGTTTCTTCTGTTACAAAAAATATGGGATAGAACGCACATTGTGTGAAAATTGTGGCTTGTCTTCATCCCAAATGATACACAACAGTTTGTTCTGGTCTGCAAGCAATTGCAGACATGTGGTCTTCATAGTCTTATCGAACTTCTCACTGGGATTATACAAGGTGCATCGCTCTTTCTCTCTGGCCTTGTCATACAATAAACACAAAACAAAAGGCAAAATGTTCGCAGTAAGACAAATAACAACAAGAAAAAAAGTTCAGTTCGCAGAATTGTCTGGGTTTTAAGTCGTGGTTATTTCACACCGAACTTTCACAGATTTTCTCAGGATTGACGCACGGTCCATGTGGACGCCATTACTACCTTTTAGGCCTACCTATTGCCTGAATTTATATTAATTTAACCTATTGTCTGCATTTGCTCCAAGTGCCTGGAAATCTGGGTACTTTTATTGTAACAGAATCATGCTCCGACATCGGGTGCTAATTGCCTGTTTTCTCTTGTCTTGTAGGCTTCATGACTCGCAGTAGGCAAGCAGGTCAAACTCCCAGACGAATCCTGGACCACCCTAACGGCGTTCGTGATACCGTTTGACTGTGGTTACAAGATGTTCTTACTGTGATCTTCGCTAGCTTGAACAGTGTGCTTCACAGGGTAGTGGACCGCAGGATCGGCCACGCCCACTGGCTTGGACTTCTTGAGAGGACAATACTTTTTTTGCCTTTCCGTCCTCAGAATTTACGGGAATAACTTTGGAATGGCAGATTGCCTTTTTCTTGACAAAAAGTACTTGACCACCCCTTAAGCTGCTTGTCTGTCAGGTATCCCTCCAACGCCGACCTAGTATCTCTAGTGCATTTTAAGGACGCACGGCTACGGTCTCTCACTCACATGGGCAAATAGGTCCGGGGAATATGATGATGATAAATTTAAAACAAAGTTTAACACTAACTGTAACCATGGATGCGTAGAAAAGAAGATACAATTTCTGGACTGAAAATATTTTATTGACAATTTCCCGTGGCATAAGCATAAAACATAGACTAACAACAAGTTACTTGTTTTGCTGTTATCATTATATAGTAAATATGCACAGACTCATAAAATTTCTTCCATTGCTAGCTTTAGCATTGTCGCTGTAGTCTGCATTATTAGAAAGTACTTTAAATTTTTATCGTTACATATTCGTGGACCATGACATTAATCAACTTGACGCACTTCAAACACAATTAATTGTGATCAGAATTTTCTTTTAGACATGTGAATAATTTATTAATTTATTGATATCTATATCTGTGGCTTGATGTATAAACTCCGTATCGTTGTGTGCATCTGTGTCTGAATATATTTTCATTGTCGTAATCTCGTTCTTGCATTTGTCTTAAATATAATTGTCTTTAAAAATATCATTGTTTCTTGTGTAATTTCCTTCGTTACAAAAAACCGTCACCTTGTGTTATTATTATTGTGCAGACGTAGAACATATTTCAACTAAAAAGAGACTCTAGCAGATAAAGGTTGTCTCTGACATCATTTTGGGGAAACCTAGTACTAGTATTTCGCGCAAAAAAAAAGATGTCACAACAATAATCCTGTCTTTTTACAGCATGACTCCCTGTTTGCGAAATATCAATTTATCATTTCCTGAAAAATAACACCAAGAAGACTAAAGATGACAGGCTTTGATACAGCGACATAATTATGAAGCTTACACGCGTTAGGCACGTTCAGCAAAACATCACTGACACGCTCTGTCGTCTCGTGGGCGTAAGCCTACGATAAGAGTGAAGTATCGGGAGTCGTGTTAAATCCAGAATACAGCATTCAAGTGCAAAGCGAACACTTTCGTCTCCCAGAAGTTAAAAATATCCACGTTTTTATCACCTTCTATCATTTTCGTCACATTTATCTGAATGTCACAGAACACATTTGCGGTTCGCCTTCAACAGAACAACCCATCACTACCGGTGATACTACGCCGACAGATACATTAATGTTGAGAACCAGTCGATAAAATATATTTACCAAGATAGTTTAAGGAACATTAAGATAAAACTACGAGCATTACACAGCGACACGTTATTGCTTTGTTAGGAAGTGAGGACAGAATCGGCCAAGATTAATAGAATATAATGCATTTACTAAAAGCTAGGTCGAAATAAGGGCACGTCTAATGGATCAAAATTAATCTAATCCGAAAAAAGAGATGTAATTGCAGATAAAAACCGCACTTCAGCAAGTTAACATAGCATATCTCTTAAAGAAAAACGATTGCCACCACAGCATTGTTCTAAACGACCTATTTCAGAGCGGAGAAAAGTTCCAGTTTCCCGTCACCACCCCTAATTACCCGTTCTTTTCACTAAAGGTTCTTCTTCGCACTTACATTATTGGCGAGTCAAATAAATTGCATCCAATTACCATTAGTCCAATCTGTTATGATTATAATTGAAGTTCCCACCTCTGTAAACAACGTATACACAATAATGTTCAGACGCCCTGTGGAAGTTATCTGTACTCTGCAAGATAAAGCGTTGTCTGAATCTGCTGGAAAACTGGGTAGAAAAAATGTCAGCGCGGGATCCTGGATGGATTGACGTATTATTACTTATTGAGCGTTATCTGTTAGGTTCAAAATAGACAAACTGCTTGTATTCTTCGTATTCTGTGTTTATTTTTGCAAAAGGTCAATATTCAACTTAGCAGACAAACGTCAAAAGTAGATGGACAGGCTTAGCGTGCCAAGGAGAAGCAGTATAATGTAGAGGATTTCGCAATATATTCCCACAGTTTGGGCAATTGTTTGATGTTATTAGCCGTTTACAGATGCTTGGGGAAAAAGTCACCAGGCCTCAAAATACTACCTATTCCAGGCGTGTTTGTTGTTTTGTTGTTCTGAGTTATATTAGGCTTGTTGTCATATAAATTTACTCATCACGAAACCATACAAAGTAAACGAGATAAGCGTTCCCATATCCCAGCATGATTAAACTGATGCATATCATATTTGCGAAAACGAACGCAAGACGTTTGATGCCTTTTTGCAATTAGTACGCATAACAATTTACAAGACCAGTCTGTGTTGATGTTTTCCGAGGGAAAAGTTGAGCATCTTTCTTTGCTTTCATGTACCCCAATAATTTGCCAGGGCACTTGCCGTCTGTGATAATTTCTTTCGTGAGAAAACAATAGATTTCAGTTTTTCTCCAAATTGGAACCAACTGTAGCAGACCAACACGTGAGAACACTGAGAACTGACAAACAGGTGGATGACGTCACCAACAATTGTCAGACAATTTACAAAATCTAGGGCTTTAGCCTCTTGCATTACTTTTTATTTATCCGAGCAATAATGGAAAACAACTTCCTAGTTACCCAATTTATAAGAGAGAGAGGAGCGTTCCCAGGTACCCGATCTGAGAGCCTCCATGTCCGGGTATCAGAGCAACCTGCAGGAATCGCGCCTTCCCGCTGAGTGCTGGACAAAACACCCGGGAGGCACAGGTTACAGCTGTCAATCAATAAGATATAGAACGTTGTTTCCCTTTGCTCTTCTGAAAAATTAAAATCCTTCCCTACGTCACGTACACGTTTTTTTTTAAATTCGTTTTAATTAACTATTCAAAATGCAAGTATTTCATAAAATATTGAATCACTTTCTATAAACGTTGACTGTAATAAATTTGTTTTGCAAGTTACAACTGTTGCCACCCCCCACCCCCACCCCACCCCTCTCTTCAACAAAATTTAAAACTACACTCGGAATAAGGCATATACTATAATTTTGTCGCTTTTTGAATTCTCCATTTTAAGAAACGAAATCTGAGAAGCTTTTTTTTTAAATAAAGAAAGGAAAGCAACCCCAAATACTTTATTCCCCACCCAAAAGGTATGCAGGAACATTTGCTGAACCTAATGCCCCTTATCTCCCATTTTTATCAAGGGTGGACCCAAAGACCAAATATATATATAACATATATTGTGACTGCCATGAAATAATCTACATTGTTCCGTAGACGAGAAAGACTAAAAATACCTAGTAGGAAGCGGAGACACGTTTGATAAATATGGTACGCGGAAATGATTTAGAATGCAACAGGTACATTCCTCACTCTGGGGAAACATTTACACAATGGTTTTACGTAATGAAAGGCGGTGCCATAATGTAACACCGTGCAACTATGCTGCTTCGATTAATTTTCGGGTTATAATGTTTATTGAACTTAGACGATAAAATATCGTGCAGAAATGTTGCGTCTATTAATGTTCGGATGTGATGGAAATTAATGGCTGATGAAAATCAATTCCCGACGAATTTGTAATGTGGTTATTGAGGATAGCAGATGGAAGGTTGGCCAACAGTGGCTATACATCGAAACAATTTTGGGTGGGACCTATAAGGTAAACTGCCTAATGGAATCAACAGCAATTTAATATACGATAATTGTTTCTATTTTCGATCTAACAATAATGATAGAGTCACCTACTAAATAAAACATTTTTATATTCAAAACGTGACGCTAGTTGTTCCCAAAGGTACATTTAGTAATGTTCCAAACGATGCATTTTACATGTAACTTACCCATTGAGTGTATAACTAGTGTGATGGACTTGCTAGACAGATAATGACTTCCTTAATTTAAAAATTATTTTAAGTGACTTGCGACATAAGGCACACTTATCGGCGATTATCTGCAATAACACAATGCCGAAAAAACAATGCCTTTCCGCAATACCATGTGAGAATAGCCCTATTATACTAAGCTGGTCCCACGCATTGACCACAAACTTGATGAAAATTTAATCTCAAGATAAATTGCAAAATTGCATCGCCGTGTCATCGCATTTAAGGACAAATCCAATACAAAGTCGAGGATAACGCGGAAAAGAGTCCATAAGGTAAAATTAGTGTTGTTGCTAAATTGCAATTTGGTGTCACAGTGTTAAGTCCCTAAATACTTAGCACAGTTTTTAACAGCACTCTACACCAACTTATATAATGGTAGCGCTTAAGTACTCATCGACTTACGCTCGGTGAGAAGCGAAAGGTTCTATCTTAACCCATACTAAAGACTAATGTCAAAGTTGTACAACAACTTCACCTTGCATTTCCAAGATCAAGCAAAGACTGTCGTGTAACGCTATATCCTAAATACCATACTGGAATGGGGGAGAAACGCCGCAAGAACTCTGGGTGTCCGGGTGGTCAACTCTGACTAAAAATCCTGTGTATTTTGATATCGTTAGAGCATTGTTTAATCTCCCACAAATATCACAATTTTCTACCCCAGTACTATACAGAACAGCAAGGGAAGAGAGGGTGAAGACCCTCCTGACAGGGCTGGAAAACTACTAAGAACTTTTCACCGGTCAAGCATGTCGGACTCTCAGATATGAAAATTGTTCCGATTTGTTTTGATAAATCCCAAAGAAGGCACCTGATTATTATCATTTCAAAGATGGCTACGTTTCGAACACATACGTGAAACTAATTCAAAACGGTTCCCTTTACCAACAAAGTGAAACAACATATACTTAATAGAGGGCTTCTCACCCTCACAAAATGCAAATATATGAAACTAATAAATGACGTTAACTTTTTGTTTATTGTACTCTAAAAAACAAAAACAGAATATATAAATCGGTTTCTGTGCTTTTATTAAACGGTTCGTTTCAAAGACATTGTTGTCCTAAGTAATCCTATCCAATTCAGTTACGCAAAACGATCTAATTCCCACATTTTGATGCCCCCACACCATTAATCGCCCATTTTCGCATTCTGGGAATCTCCCAGGTTACTTTTTCACCAGAGTCAAGACCCTCAAAAAGTTAAAAAGTCGAGGCCTAATAATGGGACGAAATGGAACACAATCCACAGCAAATTCGGGAAGACAGAGTAAACCAATTGAATTATCTTTCCCATACAATGGCTTTCAAGGTGTACGTTGATTGATCAAAGGTTGCCAAAATACATACCCAAGGCGTCCATTATTTGTTTATTTGTTCTTTTGGTTTTGAATCAGATTCCCCGTGTTAACTTCTAATTACCTGTGGTTTAGAGGCGATGAGAACACGCAAAAAAGCGGGAAGAGCTTGACAATATTCCAGCAGTGTTCAGCAGTTCTAGTATACAAGACAATGGCTGGAACAAAGGTGTACAGTTGCTGGGAAACTGAAAAGGCAATTCACCCCCTAGATTACACTAATTCGTTTGATCTTGACCGCATCTCAGTTTCTTTTTTTTATGTGATCTAACATTATAGGTGGCCTTATATGGGCGTACATGTCGGAGTGCCTATCCGAGATTGCCTATTCGAGATTGCACAGGGGATATAGGACAACCTGTAAATGTTAAAAATTTATATACTTAATATTTCAAAGTTAATCTATTAATGCCATAACCTCATATTAACTTTACGAGATGCAATACAAAGGGGCGGGCATGCGTGATGCGTGGGAGGATGGCGTCAAGAAACAATACATTTAACCATGGGAGAAATGGTAAAATTGCGATGGCCAAGGACCGCTGTTAGAGGTGCCCCAGCACTGTCCAATACAATCTGGCACAGCAGAAAATTCAAAAGTTCCATCTATGCATGTACATTTTACGCTATTTTACGTGCAGTCAGTGATCAAAGACCACACGAGAATTCAAGAAAGGCCCTGTAATCGCTTAACAACACTATTAACGTTTATTCATGGACGCCTTTTTGGCAAGCACCTGCTTACGTGAACACGCGAATTCAAATTGTGAATGTAGTGAAATAATTGTTTTCTACTTCGAGCCCATATTTTTCCTCTTCAAAGGACGAAAAGTGCTACTTTGTTATGTTATTGATCATGGCGACCACACATTAGGTGTAAAGCGGCACGCGGATCAGGAAAGCGGCCACCGTGGCATTCAACAGTTGAAGTGACGCAAATGGCCGGTTTTCTGTTATTTCGACTTTAAGAGAAACGCACAAATCACATGCCTACAGCAAACAGTAGTTTACCGACGAAATATATACTTGTTCTACCGGTCATAGTCGCGAAGTACTGGCGGGCTGCTCTTTCAGCATCTAATGCCGCTCTGAATCCAAGTTTGTGTTTTCAAAACAAATTTGCTAAATATCTTTATTTTGATCAGCTAATGAATTTGTTTTTGAGTAAGTGATAGTCCAATCTCGTGGCCTTGCATAGCTTAAGGAGGTTTACGTGGGTTAAACAAGATACCACCCTCCATTTAACAGCAAGAATAACTGTTAACCGTGACCAGTAGCTGCTAGAACATTGCTCTATCAAACGAGCACGGTCACAATTTTTTTGATTATAAACTTCGTTATTGCGCATCCTCCCATAATATCAGACAGCAAGTGGTTGTTCATGTATCTGTTAATAAATTAGAATCTCTCCCAGCTCGGAGGAAAAAAGTGAATTTTCGTACTGTTCGCAGTAAACAAAGCCGTTCCAACCTGTGGTTTTAAAGCCTGCCAATGACAATTGCCTCTGCTACATCCCCGGTTTTCATTTCCTTCTGTTCCTTAGTCTTTGGCGGCAGCATCAGCAATGCGTTTGCACTGCACATACTCAGTAACCGACTGCTGATCTGGCTCCCCGTGCTGCTGGCCCAGGGTACCGGGTCGTCTTCACGCCAAGACAGCACGACTCGGTGGTACTCAGGGCGAGAATCTAACTGAATATCCGACGAGATCTGAAATAAAACCCAAAATTATAAATAGAATTAAATGTTCGTATTGAGATACGCAAAGAGAATTCAACAAAAGCAGAATATTTTGCCTTGAAGAAACTCATCAGCAGTCATGATACTCTCAGCGGAAAGAAAGAAAAAACGAACGTGTTTCATCGAAAAAAAAAAAAACATAAAAAACCCCCACTATATGCAATCATAAAATATTTGGTATTTCATTTTCTATCGGAAGTCCCTGTGTCCCTGTGGGTTCGGAAGCTCCTGGAGGTCGGTGTAGGAGTCAGATGGGATGGCCAGTGCAGGGTAGGTGCTCCGTTTGCCTGTCGACTACATGGCGCCGGAATGCAGTTTTCATCTTTCTTTTTTCTACTTTATTCTTTTGTGTGTATGAGGGGGGTTGTGGAAGAGAACCTTTTTTGCACAAGACGGCAAAACTGCAAGTGCGTCTTAGGGGCCATTCAGAATGAGAAGAGCCGAGTGCTAGCTGGTCCAGGGCCTAAATATAGGGACCTACATGAAAGGAAGACCGCTTAACCCTGTAATGATCTCTCCACCTCTTTCACGCCTCCTCATGCGTCGTCCCTGCAGGGGCACAGTAATATTAAATCTCGTCTCGAGGGACGACGCGTAGGGAGGCGTGAAAGAGGCGGAGAGATCATTACAGGATTAATCGGCCTTCCTTTCATGTAGGTCCGCCATATTTAGGCCGTGGATCAGCTAGCACTCGGCTCTTCTCATTCTGAATGGTCCCTTACACGTGGATGCTGTTTTTTCTTCAAAGAAGTGATAGCCTTGGAGGCTAATACAAAGCCCGTAAATTGTATTTAAAGATAACGTCAATGACAAAGAAGTGTTTCCATTACACCAAAGCAGACAATGTACTGATTTGTTGCACATACTTATACACAAATACGAAATGCTTTTCCTCTTAAATTAAACTTCTCTCATATTAAGCCCACGACGTAACTATCGTTTTCAGCAAAGCCTCTTGCATCATTAGAAACTACCAACATCATCGAACATAAATATATCATCTAGTAAAAAAAAAACTCTTCTGTTATAGGTAAAATAACAGTTTGGTTAAAACATGGTTTAGATTGATTTAAACGATTTTACAAACCAAGCATTTATTTGGAAATTTCTCTATGCTGATTTATAACAATCCACACCTCTAAGCTCATGACTACACAGCATATTTGGTGCGGTGCTGAAGATACGTTAAGATAAGTCACAAGCTGCATGCAACTACCGGCCAGCTTAAGATACACAAAATTCTTGACTCGGTCAAAAAGTGTAAATCATTTAAAGCGTCTATCGTTTAAAATCGCCAATGGTTTGTTTATCCAAACAAACAGCGGTGGCTACTGAAGCCGAGGAAAGCAGTGGGAGCTTGTTAAATGGTGATTTATGGGGCAAAAAAAGGCCCACAACTAATTACACGTTTTCATTAACAAAATAATGGCAGCCGTTTCGAAAGTAGTGAATAACAACCCCAAATATTATAATGACATTCTTATCGACAGTAGCGGTTTTATAAACAGCTATCATTCTATGCTACTTCTCATGCCTGTTTAACAAAACCTGCGTTGTTTAGATGCGTTTTCTATTGGCATCAAACGGTGGTCACAAGTGGCATGCTTTTTCTGCGTCTATGGCTTAAATATATATTTACATATTGGAAGTGGTTACAACATAAAAGGAATTGGATTGGAAGTGGCTACAATGTAAGTGGCATCGTCGTAAACAGCTGATTTGAAATACATTTGTAATAAAGACGAGCGGCCAACAGGTCAAACTGAACTTCTTCTTCATCGTAAACAGCTGGTCAACTTTCAACTAACCTACACTAATTACCTTTCAAACGCGTTACTTATTTCTTACTAGAAGAAATCGTTTAAAATAGGTCAAATTTACACGTTAGACCAAAGAAGAAATATTTTAAACATACACATACCAAACAAATGTTACTTTCACACATATTTTATAAAAAATCCAAACGCAGTTCCCGCCCTATAGCAAGGGGGTCAATTGCAATTCCTCATGTTTAAAAGTAAACCCGTCAACTTAAATGGTGTGAAGAACACCATAAAATCCGATTTCTATTTTTTATCAAAAGGTATCAAATTTACGGCAGCGGTACACAGGAAGATGTGGCAAGAAAACAAGGTTGCCTTTTTGAGGACTATCGGAGTAAATGCGTTCAAAGCATAAATAAATAACCCCAAGTCTGTCCAGTGAATGATTTGGGACAGGTGAACCTGGATTGGCAAGATTGGATCTCAAGTTTTTAAAAAAATTAAATAACCTGCACGTTTAATTTAAACAGTCATGCGCACGTGGCCAACTATCAACTTGAAATCACGTTGGCTGTTATCAGCAGTTGTATAATTTTGTTCTTTTTATATCATTGTCTCCCTTTTTCAGGACGTCTCTTTTTTTTTTCTAATGACATTTTTTTTCGTAAGCTTCGACCACCAGCACCTGTGAGCTTTTACAAAGATCATTCTATATCAAACATTTTTTTGGCTGTTAGGAGTAGAACAAAGGATTGTTTTGAGTTAGTTTGTGCATCGTACTGAATTGGATGAAAGAGTTTTACAATGTCGTTTCAGATGTAAGAGGCATTTAGACTAGACACCAATTAGGTTTTATGCCTGCTCTTATCTAAAACAATGAGCTCAAAGCAACCATTAGTTCATTAGCGTTAAAATATTGACACAAACATGACAAAAACGGCTTCCTAATATTTTCTGCAATGTGTCAGTTTGCTTTGAATTTGCCAGTAATAATTTATGAAAAGCATAATGGTGAATCATGGAATCAGTGGTAAAACACTCGGGCATGTTGTTTCAGAAGACAATGCTTCATTAAGTAAACATGATCTAATTCCATAAACTGCTTTTCAAACGTTCTTAATAAAGTTTCTAATTTAAGCAATACTTATATCTGAAAATAGTTTCTATTGCGTCATTTAGTTCATCGGATGGATATTTTACGACAAAACATATCCAAATTGTGTTTAATAATGGCAACATAATAACTATATCGATCCATTAAGCTGCTTAGTAAAATTGAACAGGAGACTTTCAATTATTTGCTGATGAACTTCCTTGTTCCGTATTGCCTTACCTTAGACTAACAAACAAATGTCAGCATTTCCAGAATTCAATATCAATACAAATTTTTAGATTCGTAAAATAAAGCAGAGAGCCAGTCAAGTAACCTACCGTTGAACTTCCTGGTCCATATTGTACGTTATTTGTACAAATACACAAACGGCAGAATTGTGAGTCATGTAAATGCACAGCATTAGAAGATTCAAGTAAAATCGGTTTATTTAATATAGAGATTGTAATGAGTTACCGTTATAGCTTCTTCAAAACATCAGTCAATTAATGATTTTTTTCCTGGTTTACCAGAGACTACACTGGCTTTCATTAATGTGTGCAGTAGGCCTATTCTTGCAATTAGATAATAGGCTAAGAAGTAATTGGTTATGGATGAAACCTGTTAGGAATGTTTAAGCTGCACATGTAATGCAACCCATTGCTGACACTCCAGGGTAGAAACCCCCTATATTGATGAAACTTGCTTCTCATATCTTGATGTTGTAGAACCCTCCTATATGATCCTAAAGATTTTTACACAAAGTATAGATTTCAGTGCAAGTTAATCCCCTCCCCCCAAAGAAAGACATTGACACTACAGATTGCAAAAAAGAAAAAAGTCAGATACATGAAAATTATCTAATGGTGAATTAACCCTTTGTCTTTATGAACTATTGAAATGAACATTACAGTTGCACAATCATTTTAAGCATATAACACAGGCATTTGTCATCCAAACTGTTTCAAGGATTCATGGTGCCATGCCTAGTTTTATCTGTAGCACAAATTAGGCATGGTTTGTATCAGACATCTTGATTTACTGCCCGTTTGTTCTACAGAAAAAGGTTCATTCCATGATAATATTAATGACCACCGACAGAAAAATGTAATCTTCATTGACAGAACATTTATGACCTGTTAATGAATAATATAAAACAAAACTGAAAATGATACACGAGTCAATGAAAATGTAATATATCACTGCCTACTTAATGGAACATCGATTAATTTTGTAATGTCATCCAAAATTACAAAGAAAAAAAAAATTCTGACAAAACAAATATGATTTTTTCAAATATCACAAAAAGAAAAAATAATTTAAAAAAGAATAAAAATAAATTTTCACTAAATAAAATTTTGAAATGTCTGTTTTTTGGGTCAAACATGGTATTATCACTTTAAATGTCTCTAAATGCTGTAGGTATCAAGTTGCCATTAGTGTCAATCAGGTTGGGTGAACTATGAAATATTGCATACACTGGGAATGTTTACTCCAAAGAATGCAAATTGCCATTTGGGCCTATTACTGTCGGAAGAAGCTAATAGTTCACATTCACTTATCAGAATTAATGTGTCACAAAGTTATAACAGGAACACTATAAGGGAGAAGTAATGTGTGGTGTAATGAAAACTTGCTTTGCATTCCATTTCATGTTGCTGGAGATATCTTTTTTGAATATGAAAAACATATAAAACCATTGTGCTTATTGCTGTTAAAATGTTCCATAGTATTAATCAAATATTAAGTTAAGTAACTAAAAGATATACTGATCATTAAAGTAACTTTACCTACAGGAGAAACAAAATTGTGTGTATGTCTGTGAGTATGTGAGGGGAGAGGGAAGGGAAGAAAACATTGAGAAACAATAAAAGCCCAGTTTTAAAACACACTTGAAACAAAAAACTAACCTTAGCTTTAATAACTGTTCTCCTTGGGTTTGGATAGCCACTCATCTTGTTCAGGGCAGGAATCACATACAGGTTACAGGTAACTATGGCACTTACAGGGTTTCCAGGGAGACCAAAAAATAACTTTTTGGTATCATCTATAGTAACTGTGGCAAATGTTGTTGGTTTTCTGAAATCAGACAAAATGGTACAATATCTGAGGATTACCATATGACATTGTAGGTAACTATTAAAACTATCTGACAAAACTTCTCTTGGAGCAAAAATTGTTCAAATATTTTGTTGTCTCTCAAGTTTTCTGAGGATATTTTCCTATGGTGTGAATCTCTATTTTATTATTATGAAAAATGCCAAAATATATCTAATTTTTTTGACCACTTAATGTTATAATTTTAGCTTATAAGGATGAATATGATATATGATGCAAATGAACATTTCCCTTTCACTTAGAACCTGAAAATTTATGTGAACACAATGTACTTGTGATGTCTTAAATGTGTTACTGGTACTTATATTTGCATGATTTTAATGTCTATCCATCATTTTGTGAGTTTTTCTGGCTGCATATCTGTTGGTTTTTCTGTCTGTAAACTTTTATCAGACTGTGAACTTTGTGAACCTAACATATTTTTGTGGCTTATCAGAAATTACAGTTAATCACACTATGTGACAAGGGCATTGAGCTGTTCTGTTTGGTAAGACTAGGGGAATGACTGCTGAAACCATTTTCAATCAAAAATTACCAAACTTTGGCAGTGTTTAAGGTAACCAAAGCCTACAAAAAAGATGACCTAAACAGGAAAATGAAAATCTAGATTTAAATGTTTAATAAGTGTTTCTAGAGAAGGATATTCATAATCATTAAAATTCATAGGGTATATTTTCAGAGGTACTCCCCTAAAGTAAAAAAAAACCTAGACGTAGCATCTGTTTGATTTGACAAATTTAATATTTTGGTACTGTGACCATGGTATTAGACATGAACACACTGAAGCAGTCAGCAACAGACATAATAGAGGTAGGTGGAAACAGGTCACCAAGAACAGGGACAGGGATGCACTGTACATACATTACATGTACATTTGGGTGGCAATTTGTCTATCATTTTTTTTTCAAAGCCAAAATGTTTTAAAAAGCACTTATAATATCAAAATACCTGCCAGGAAAAGAAAAGTGTCTAAAGGGATCATTTTTGATCCTGGTATGACAACAGAAATTTTACTGCATCATGTAGCAACATGCTTACAGATCATCACTTTACAGTTGGTGTAATTCCAAACTATATATATATATATATATATACTATATATGTATATATATCCTGAAAATGTTTTAAGACCATATTTTCCTCATATGACATAAGTCTACCTTTTTTTTTGGTACTTTCACTGTTTAATTTAATTTAATCATATGGATGAGTTCTTAAAACTGGATTTCTGTTTCAATAGTACAGGAGTAAATGTTTGTAACCTTTTATCTGCACATATGTTCAACACTAGAACAATCCATTTTTCATCTCAGTCTGATATTTGTCAAAATATGTCAAGACTATTGATTCAGTAACATAATGCTAACAAGCAAAAATAGTAAACAAGCCCCCCCAAGGAAGGAAGGCGAAACTATATTTCTGGGAAAAAGCAGCAATAAATGGAATAATGTTCAACTTATTTACATCAAGGGAGTCATCTGAGGTGTACGCATGTTGTGAGCATTGACATTGTAACTCTAGGAGCTCTGTAGTTTGTTTTTGGACAGCAAATTCCAAAGAAACGGAATGGGCATGTTCGTACCTATAGAACTACCAAACATGGCACTATTATACAACTTAATATTTTGTTAATCCATCAATTGAAATTATAATGTAGACAAAATCAGCAATTTATCATATTTCAATCCAAACTTAATAAAGATTTACAAAGAAAACCTGATAAAGTAGCTTTGAAAATAATAACTTAATCACACTTACCCAGGCTTCATGAAAACTCTTCCAAAATGCATATGTGCTTGCAAATCAACATGGAGGACTTGCTTCAAAAGGTCCTTAAAATAATAAAATGACATCTACTCAGATAGCATAAAAAGACACCATCAAGCATATATTGAAAAACGTGTGTGTGTGTGTGTGTGTGTGTGTGTGTGTGTGTCAAGCACATAGTGTAAAGACCAATCAGATCTAGAGGTGCAGGGCCCATAACAGTTGAACCTTCATCTAAGGATGTGGTCATGTAAACAGGGGTGCTCTTCTTTATTACAAAGGTTCACAATTGTGAAAGTCAGCTATTCTAAAGATCCAATTCTCTGAAGGTTCAGTATTGGGAAAGTCTGCTATTATAAAATTTGGTTCATTCTTCCGAAATACACATACAAAGCTCATAATTCATCATATATGCCATGTTTATAACATGATTATTGGGCATTAGAAATTATAGATGTACCATAGACTTGTGGGACTATGCCCTAGGTATCCAAAATTTTCAGTCAAACTGCCACCACTGAGCATATGGTTCAAAGTACACCTCCCCAAACCCTTTTTTCACTCTCTGCACCTCCATGTAATGTTAAATAAAGCTTTGATAACTGCCATATGTACTATTTCCCCGTTTCACACCATTTAACAGCCGGTATTTTCTCATGGGACAAACCTTCTCCCCCATGGACACTCCACCACTGGTTACTATCACATCCGTCCGTCTTAAAGCATTTTTCAGGTGCTCAAGGAGGGACTCTGGTCTGAAAAAAAAAATTGTTCAACAATGTGCAAACCTGGGTGTAAATTATTTGACAGATTTGAACAACAGACTGGAACTCCTACAGGAAACCTACCTGTACAACACTGTAAAACACATGTTTTGTAAGTCTATTGGCCTTACATTACTTTTCTTTATTGCTAAAACTAGTTCTCCTTTTAAGAGAAAAATATTAAGTGAAGATATTCCATGAAGATTGATACTACATTGTATCTATCTTGGGTAATAGTTCAATACATGCTTGGTTTTCTTTTTAAGTTTAAGATGGGAAAGAGATGACAATGATGATATCAAAGAATGAAATCACTGCAAAATGAAGATAAAAAATAGACTACAGGTGAATGCAAAAATATGAAAAATCTTTGATTAAAAAGAAGTTTAAACCTCTTAAACAAATTTAATCAGTACTTTTTGATTACCAAGTGTTTTTAAAAGAGCTGCTTTTCCTTCCATTTGTGTATTTAGTGTAAGAACATGTAGTTAATATCACCTGACAAGGGTGTGTGTAATAGTAAGAAAAAGGGGTTAAGACTGCTCACTTTTCAGACAGCATCTAATTAACTATTGCAGGAAATACCACTTCAATAATAAACACAATTTTAACATGCTTCACTGCCAAACATGAGCAATTTACAAATGATTTGTGAAAATTTACAAACAGCATTTAAATATTTCAAGATCTTAGATCAGGAACAATTCATATGAAAAAATGACATCAAAAGTAATCTTAATAAATTTTGGAAAGTATATAGTCCATGTTTTAACACACCTCTACCAAGATATTAAGAAAAATCTAACCATGTGCATTTCAAACCATTTACAATCTGGTGAACCAAACACATGTAAATTCACTTCACTATTCAAGGCAAGAAAAAAAGGAACTGTCTGCACTTATTTCCTGTCCTGTGGTTTCTTTTTTTACTTTAAATATAGCATCAAGGTATCTAAAAATATATGTATCGCCGATCCTTGGCTTAAATTTCTCTTCTCATCTGTAAAGGACATAAAAGTACAGCAGTTCTTTGTAATAAGATTTCAAGACACCTCCTCTGATAGTCTGCTTTCCCTATGTGGTCTTCTACTTAATATCTTGTGTTTGGGCATACACACTATTTCCACATACAAAGAATTTCAAGGGAGCAGTGTAATGTCTTCTCCTGGCAAAATGATAATTGACATATTCTTCCATTCAAATATGCTGCCTGTGAGTTATTACTTTCACACCAGGTAACCTTCAGTGTTTAAAAATTTGCTAGTCAAGGGCAATGACACCATAAGAGGTTAGAATATTTTTAAAAAGGTGCTTTAAAGCAAAAAACAACTGATACTGTAGACCACAAGCAATAACAATAAACATATTAGATGTTAACGTAATAATTGAAAGGTCATATTCAAGTGTTTTCAAATTCATGAAAATTTCATAATAAAAATATTTAAAATAAACACTTAAAAGACCAATTGGCATGTATTTTGAAAAACTACAAGTCTTTTAGGAAATTTGACAGTTGAAATGTATACACCAATGCTTTATTTTGTCAAATATAAGGTTCTTTTCTTTTTTCCTGATCAATTAATTTTGAGTTGAATGAACCAATCACTGACAGAAGGCTGAAACTGGCAACATAGATAACTTTTTGGTTTAAAGACATCTGTGTGGGAGAATTGAAATCATTCCAAGCTTCTAATGATGTGCTGGACTTTTTTTGTCAAGAATTCAAGTCTGAGTAAATGCATTTATCAGCAAATTATCATGATTTATTTGAACGCTTTATAATTTTTTTTTTCATATCATGCAGCTTTCTTTATCAAAATGAATGAATTTTGTAAAATAGTCCTACTTTCATTAGAAATATGTGATTTCAAAATGAATAATGTGAATAATAATTTCAGATGGAAACATATTTCCTGATTTCTTAATGTGATAATGTTTTGCAGTATTATTCCCAAATCTACAAGCACTACATTTCCTTATAAGGCACTTTAACATTCTTTCCACACTGAAAAATTATTAACCACGCATTACCACATACAGCATCTTTATTCAAAGGCATTTCAAAATTGAGTGGAATTGAAACACTATTGACACTCAAGCACGTTTAAAAAACACGTGGCTGTGTTCATTTAAAGAAAAAGACACATATATCATCACATCACAGTTTGTGGTTGTTCATTGCAGCTTTATGCCTGTGATTAGGTGATGAGTACTTTTATGATGTAGCAAAAAGCTGTTGAATGAAATATAGACAGGGACAGTGTTAGTCAGTTATTTAGTCATTCAGCATGTATGCTTTATGATTTTTAAAACATTTGAAGTATGCAATGAAATAACCCATAAAGAAAACAGGGGACGATAAACTAAGAGAATGTACAAATCAAGGATGACTCCAACCACAATGCTGTTTGAATCACACAGTATGCTGGCCCCCATTATAAGCTCAGTAGTATTATTAAAATTTGAAATCACTGAGAAGTTTAAATCAGCCTAATAAAATTTCATCAAAAAATATGGATTTAGTATTAGCTTTAGTATTATAACATAATCTTTTTTTCAAACAAGCCTAATGAGGACCATAGAAGGAGAAATTTGATATTTACCATGCTTTTACCCTAAAAATTTAATAAAGTTTTACAAGCATCACTACATGTTGGGCTACTGTAATTAAACTGCAATCCTCCCCAATAATTACAACACATTATTTGGGAAGCTCAACAGCTACCAAAGTAAACAGAAAACCATGCTACACCATCCAATGCAACAAGGTTCCAGCCTGGTCACACCACACTCAGCTTCTCCACACCAAATATTTTTGTTTTCACGAACTTGACCTGTCATCTTGATTCCCGTCTCATCTTGTTTCTATCTAAGATCAAAAATGACAATCTCTGAACTGATAAGTAGCTGACACCATGATGAATTTTGTTTAATAGTGTGGCTACAGGGGTGGATCCAGAGATATTTTCTGAAAGTCTTCCAAATTATCTATGTTGATCCATCCTCCATTGTTGACCATCTTCTGACAGAAAATATTAGATGCCCGACAATGAAAATCTGACCGTCTTTCGGAAGACCCAGAAGATGGCCTAAATCCGCCCCTGGGCTAGTTGAAGTCTTCTATTAATTTTAAGAAATCCAATGAACAATAATATTTTGATCAAATATGCCAAGCAAAAAGGGTCCACTTTGACATTTCTGTTGGCCATTTTAAGAATTAGTGCTCATGCTGATATATGTAGTCCTATGATATCATCGGGTGCGCTTCGCTATGCCGAAGGTTCGCTATGCCGAAGGTTCGCTGTGCCGAGGGTTCGCTATGCCGAAGGTTCGTTATGCCGAGGGTTCGCTGAGCCGAAGGTTCGCTATACCGAGGGTTCGCTATGCCGATTGTTTTTAAAAAGATGTTAATTTTACACACACCCAATAACTACAACAAGTTCGCCAAAAATAATTAGAGAATGTTTTCTTGTCAGTAATTTCCTAAATGTGGGTGACGCCCATAGTGCCAAAAATAATTAATAAATTAACTTACAGAACTGATTATTTAAAGCGATTTAAGATGTTTATGTCCATAAGGATAAACCTTCAATGCGCAGTTTTAACAAATCCAAATGGTACGGATGGAAGAAGAGAACTTTTAAAACTCGTTTATTTTCAAAAAAGGCCACTGCTCGCCACGTTACATAACAAGCACAATGGGTGATGGGTAGCTGACTTTTTCGGCGCAGCGAACCCTCGGCGCAGCGACCCTTACGGCACAGCGAACCATCGGCATAGCGAACCTTTGATTTTGGGGCTCCAGAAAAACTTAGCCGATTTTAGACCAATTTTCCGGTTTTGTCGGCACAGTGAACCCTCGGCACAGCGAACCTTCGGCACAGCGCGCTGTCCCCATATCATCCATGATACAAAGTCCTTTCATGAAGAGTTTTAACTTAAATATTTATAACTTTTTTGTTTCACTTACATAAAAAAATCCCAATGCAACTAAAAACTGAAACTGGAAACACTGACATATAATATGTATATTAACACCTCAGCAAAGGTGCCAATTTTTGATTTACTTTGGGATGAGCCTAAAACAACTCGAAAAACCTGAATAAAATCCTGGCCAAGTTAATTGGGTAGAGTGATGTAGCCAAGTGTGGTGTGGCAAGGTTGATACTTGCAACTGGGTTATGCGGCATGGTTTTCTGGTGAGATTGTGATTTCTGGGCAGTTGATGAGTTCCATGGTAAGGTGTCGTAACTGAGGAGGCCTGGACTGGAATTTGACTCAAATGCGTCTTTTCAGGCAAAATAAATCAAGATCAACAAGGAAACTCTAATGCAAACTTCAGACTTAAAAAAACTCTCTCCGTCCCCTCAAAGCAGTAAGAAAACAGTTTTCATGATACATAACATCTTACTTCATGATATTATGCTAGTATAACAATTATTTGTAGTCTATTACTAGTATTTTTTCTGGATATCAGACAATTCAAAAATTGAAAAGATAAATTCCTTCCTGATTATGGGCTGTTATCTGGTTCAGTGGTACAAGTACGAAATAGCCTGGAACTTACTTAAAAACTTCTTCCTGATTATGGGCATTGCACCGAAATAACTGGTTCCAGCATATCAGCTTCTCTAGTTATTTGAACAAACACATATTATGCTCAATTGAGCATTTTAAATCTCAAACGTAAATTTTTTGTCAAGACTCATGCCAGCATATTAAGCTAAATGCAATTTGGCCACTGAATACATTGTAACTAAAGCTAATTTAAGAGTTCAATTTGATTTTGTGGAATATCAAATTTAATATTGGTTTGCTTAAAAATAAATTTTCAGATGAAAAAAAAATGATATATATGTATTACAGCTATAGTACCATGAGTGTAAAATCTCTACTACACTTGTCATGATATATTTCACTTCAAACTTTGGCTTAAAATTTCTGCAATCAATAAATCAATAAATAATAAGCCTGATGGAAACTACTATGTTTTTAAACTTACCTGGAAAACAAAGCTCTGATGATTTTCTGTCTTTTTTATTTATTTTTTCTTTTAAATGTGTTAACAGTGCATTCAGCTTGTCAATCCTTTGATTAATAATGGATTGGTATGGCATTCAAACATCCCTTAACACCTTTACCCACCCACCTTGTTGGTATTTTTACTTGCCGATACAGTTAATGGTCACATTATTTGACTAAAACAGAAGTCTAGCTACTATTTATTATGCATCCATTAGTCATTTCCCCACTGTTGCAACCAAAAAATAGAAAGGCTTAGAAAGCAACCGTGCTGCTCTATTACCACTTTCCCCACCACATCAATGGCAATATTACATATGTGGGTTGAAATAACATGTTTTCTGACAAATATGTATCTATTGATTGATTTTAAAAAATGAAGAAAATATTATTAGATTGGTCTTTCATGTTTGTCATTTCAGTTGGAACATTGTAAAATTAACTGTTTTATTTAATATCCTTTGCCACTCCCAAATCCTCCCACACTAAGTTTTAATCTATTCTACGCAATAAGTTACATAAAAAATGAACAGGAACTTAATTACACAACAAACAGGAAGAAAATGTACATTGCTGTGAGCATGTGTGCAGTGTCAATTTTGATTCAATTATTAAAAAAACATACATGATTTATAACCTATCCAGTTCCACTCCTAGATACCACTGTCTCCACTGGATTAAATCAACAGGTTAATACACAGGTCACAATGGAAAACTCCTACGACAACAAACATTGCACTTTTAATTTGCAATTCTGTTTCAGTACATAGTTGTAAATAACACTTTAGTCACCTGTCTTTTGCCACTCCTAAATCTACCGTTGGGAAGCCATGTTCCTTCAGAGCTGCCAGCAAAGTTGTCCTGTTGCTGTCCCTGATGTGCCCTGGTCTCAGTTTTGCCTCTGGCTCGACAAGCTATTATAAAAGAGCAAAGAGTCTAAAAGTTAAAGCACTCCTTTCCCTGTGGTTGCATCTTGTTGTAAACAGTATGCAAAATCTTTGGCATTCTTCCATGTATCCAAAACTTGTTCAAACTAATGTAATGGTGAAAATTATATTTAAGTGGCTCTAAAATTTTTGGTTGCTTACATAGAAAGAGTAAAGTGCAATGCCAATGTAATGTGTGTCACTCTTTTCTTGTTTTTGCCCCTCCGTTCCACAAATTTTTGGTGAAAACTGATGCAAGCTGACATACTTTGAAGAATATAAAATATGCCTCTGTGGACTGAATCTTTTGTCCCTTTTTTGTAAAGAGGGAGGGGGGCACAATTTTGTCTGAAAAGGGGTAGGGCAGGGAGCAAAATCTGCCATATATATAAAAGGGGTAGGGCAGGGAGCAAAATCTGCCATATATATAAAAAGGGTAGGGCAGGGAGCAAAATCTGCCATATATATAAAAAGGGTAGGGCAGGGAGCAAAATCTGCCATATTTATAAAAGGGGTAGGGCAGGGAGCAAAATCTGCCACATGTATAATATGTACAATAAGAACAGTTGGCAATCTCAAAACTCTACATAAGGAAACTTAACCAGTTGAACAGACTATATGTTACCATGTACAACATATTGGCAAGTATAATCTGTGAACTAAAGGGCACTTGTTCTCCTCTCACCAGAAGATGGATATATTCTACAAGTCACTGCATATATGTGAGTAAACACCTGTATGTCATGTAATACCTACTCCTATGTAATCAACTAACAACTAAACATACATTCCACCAGGTTCTGCGTAATTCAACCATACATGTAACCTCAACAAAGAACCTGAGGAAACTGATAGCCTCCCCCCACCTCATTACCTGAGTCAGGGAAAATGTTGCTATATGATTCATTTGTCTATGATTTATTTACCATCGATTGCACAGCTCAAAACCAGTTGTTCACCTGCACTAATCAAGATGATTTCTTGCATTTTGCAGATGAAGAGACACCAGGATACTCATTTGCGACCTCCTCTTACGCTGAACATATCAAGCTACAAGACCATTGAAATTTTTTCTGAATAAGCACCTTGGTAAAATACATGTATATCAAAATAATAAAAGGTGACTGACAAGTTCCAATTCAAGGTCAGTGTTGTTCTATATATATATATATATATATATATATATGCTATAGTAGTATAAACAGGTATACCACACCTGCCACTGACACAAACAAGACACATCATATCCAGACACCTGTAAGCTGAGTCAATCAGACCAGCACTCATCCACAAATAATCTAATCATAGCCTATCTATAGCACATACAATACATCTGTAGAAAATGTACCTGAATCAGTAACAGTGATTGCAAATGTTGTGTTAGTTGTGACAGGTGAGACAAAAGAGTTTCTTTAATATATAAGAGCATAGTAATAAAAATAAAACTGCAATTAATAAATCTATGAATATCTAATATTAATCATAACAGATAGAATAAAATCATGAACACATCAATTAAAAACAGAAAATGGAAAACTACCTCATTGCCTGTGGAGAGAACCCCAACTACAGGAAACATATGGCACATCAACTTCACTACTCCAACTGTTGCTGCTAGTCCCAGTTCTGAAGGACCAAGTCGGATACCTTTGGCAAGAATCTTTTCACCAGCTTTTATGTCAAAGCCCACAGGTCTGAAAAAATAAATAAATAAAAATAACCAAAAAAAAAATAATAATAATTAATTGGCCATTCAAGTAAAATGTAAAACACAGATTTTTTGATAAATATTGTAGTAAAATTACTTTACTTGCCAAAAAAAAAAAAAAAACTCTATTATAATATCATATGTACATCTGGAATCAGTGGTGCTTCAAAGGCCTATTCATTTATTTTTCATTACTAAAACGTATTATTCTTTTCTACAATATCCACCTGATATCTTGTCCTATGACAGGTGCCTGAAGGAGACTGATTTCTAGTTCAGTTCTGCCCTCGTCTGCGTCTTTAAGAAGTTTGGTGTCTTCTACCTGCACCACGGCATCGGCACCCTTGGGGATAGGGGCACCTGTGCTGATACGGATACAGTAGCCTGGGATAACTTCTCCTTTTGGCTGTAATTTGATAATAAGATCAACTTGATTAATGAAAACACTTTCAGGAAACTGATGTAAGGACCTGAGTAATTAGTTTTTTTCAACCCATCAATTTTTTTTTTATTTCCATTTCTTTCACACTGCACTATATACAGCTGCGTACAGTCTGGCTGAACATTCACTGTCAAATGAGAGAAATTGCAATGAAAAATAAAGCAATGTTTTGGGGTACAGTGGGGGGGGGGGATAATTTTTTATCAAGTAATATAATTAGACACCAATAGGAGATGGAGCTGTGACAACCTATCAGCCCCTGGTGTGTGGAAAGGTTGGGTAGTGCAGTCTGGTAAACTATCAGTTTATTTCTCAAGCTACTGGCAAAATAATTTCTACATTTCTACTGGCGCTACATAGCTGGTGAAAATTTCCGACAAGTTTCATACAGCATTATTAAAAAAATAACCTTTTCCCCTTATCTTAGTATCCTCAATAAATAGCAGTAGTTATGTACTGTGAATAATGAAAACTTCATTCATAACCACCAGACAAACACTCACACAATAACTATGACTATGATTAAATAACTATCATCCAGTCTAAATGAACAGGAAGGTAAGTAATATATACACCTTTTTTTAGACATCTGGCAGGTCCATGATATATGACAAGTACTATTGTTGCCAGGATAGTTGAAATTAAAGACATAAAGCAGTCAACTCCCCCCCCCCCTAAAAAAAAAAGGTTTATAATAACTAAATAATGAGACAGACATGCAAGCCCAAAGAATTTGTTATAAACAAAACTTTTCACAGATGTATTATGTTTTTCTTAAAAACTGTATGAGTCTTTTACAAACACTACCCACATGCACATACATATTATCAGTATTCAACAATACAGTACCAGTGGTCCACTGCAATGCAATACTCTATACACTTATTAAAAGTTATGGACCAGGATACAGAATTTATGGAATAATTCTTATATTTCCCAACAGCATAATAAAATTATGTGTTAATGCAATGTAGGTTGTAATCCAGTTATTACATTAAAATTTTTCTCATCCTCAGTTCTGTATGGTTTCTAAATCAAATCAGTTCGTGATGAAACTGTCTTCTACTTATTCATTATCTTTTAGTTTTTTTCTTTTGTGGTCAACTAAACATCTCTGTTCTTCCACTTTTACAACCTTTGTCCATAAGAGTACTTCAACAATTATGATATTCATATAACTTTTTTTGTATCTACAGTCATCACACTTCATAGAATAAAACACGTTTCTTCTGCATGCTAAGCAATAATAGATGAACTGTTACAGTCCTCTCCATGCTGCAAAGGACAACACTCCTTTCATCACGGATCACACCATAGGTATGACAGAAATGTTTATAAATTCTTCCAGTATTTCAACCTGCAGGATTCTGTAAATTCTTTGTAAACAAACAAGTCTAAATCGAACTCACCACAGAACCAGCTGTGGAATCCCCCAGGACGATTCTATCACCTGCTCCATCAGCAGCTGAAAACAGTGGAAAGTATTACTAGCTTGAGGTACACATAAACATGTCTATTATCATATTTGTGATAGAATCATATCTCTCACACACACAATCAATTTGAAACCAACTGTATTTTTCTTATGATTTTTTTAAATAGGTACAGGGCATGTGCATATATTAATTCAATAGATAACAGTGCACAAAAAATGTGGAAAAGAAATATTTAAGAGATGGTGATTGCACAAAATAATATACGTAATAATATCTTAAGATACAGAACAGTGAACAAAATGGCAAGAAAAATGTCAAGGAAAAAATGCGAGTGGAAGAAAGTGGAATTTGATGACTCTTACCCACTACAGCGTAGCCATCTTTGATAGAGGCTGGGAATGGGGGCAGAGGATCCTTGGCATATACGTCTTCAGCAAGGATCCTTCCCAAAGCATCTGAAAATAGGATTTAACTTGAATGTGTACTTCACACGTTCAATTTCAGTCTCTCATTCTCTCTCACACACACATTCACTACTAGTATGTTGTGCTTACAATTACTTAAACAAATAAATACAGTTAAAACCAATAGATAAACTAAAAATTAAATTAATGGTTCAGGTTTACATGTTAATACTGCATTCCTCATTTCTCAGTATAAAACATTAATATGATAAAGCATGACTTACCTTTATAAAACACTTTCTCTACCCCTAGTACTGGGGCCTCGCTAAGGACCATGTCCACAGCTTCTTCCACTGTTATCAGAGGGAACGGGGACTCTCTCGCACGCAGGGCCACTTTAGTGTCATCAACTGAACCTGTTGGAAAAAAACCCTTAACTTAATTTTTGAAGGCCAAACATATTACTATTCTAATAATAGCAAATTCAAGGCCAAATTTTCAGAAGAATTGTTGCTAAAACAAACACCTGCTGAAATATAACTTTTAATGTTTATTTGACTTACATCTACAATTACAACATTTTATCAAAACAAATCGATGCAATGCTGGTGAACATATAAAACAACCAAAGGTATTTAATTTTGTAATTTTAAATCTAGTTCATCACATTGGTGTGTGCAAAATAGGAAAAAGTTGGGCTGGCCCTAGATAATGCTTCTTTCAGCCAAATACCTCTTTGTAATTTTTGCCAAATCAAAATCTCAAACAAAATAGAGGATAAAATTAACAAAAAAAAAAAAAAATATATATATATATATATATATATATATATATATATATATATATATATATATATATATATATATAATTCCATCACCAAATTAGAATATGCATGCAGAAACATACATGCATGTGATGCATTTGGCTACATTTTATTATCCTAAAGGAAGTCTCAAATAGCACTGGTTTCGTAGCAACAAAAGGTTTTACATATATGAGGCCAATTTATGTTACATTAAAGAATAAAAAAATTACAATTAAAGACTTACTTTGGTGTCCTAAGTGATGATGCTCCCCCTGGTGGTGATGTTGGGTATGTGAAACAGGAGCAGCAGACTGTTGAACAAATATTTCATTTGAAAGTTAAATTGAAATCTTGGTCAATATGATGTTCACTTATTATAAAGTTAAAATAATGCATTGGTAGATGCTAAATTGTTTGCAACAGGATGAATAAGTGATTTCCCTGTCATTCTTCAAGACTGAATTTTTAACAATGTTTGTTTTAATAACAGCTTGATTTAACTTTTTTGCAGCATGTCATCACTAGAAGGAAAATGTGTGTGTGTTTGTGCACAAACTTTGAAAAAGACATATGATTTTGTATAAATTAAAGTCTAGAATCAATACCACATTAAAGCAGAATAACTTATAGAACTATGAAAACTTTCTAGTTTCCTTCAAGATATCATGATATGGCCATATACGCTATTAGTGCATTGCAACAGTCTCCAAGATTTGTTCAAATTTGGGCAAAATTTTCAGGAATCAATGACCTATTATCATGGATCCATAATAAGTAAAATATAAAGGTTTACATATTAAATGCAGTCAAGTTTTTATTTAACAACATATAACATTCAATCATGTTGATCTTCAACATGTAATTAGGAGTGAGGAAGAATACAATGGTAGAGAAAAAAAATCATCATTTGCCAAAACTATACATATGTACCTGCTAATCCCCTTAGGTCAAAAATATCAGGCATGCAAAACGTCTAAGTAAATATACTCCTTTAGTACAGTTACAAAGCCTTACACAAAGACAGGAACATCATCAAAGAGTTAACTTTGGTCATTTATTTTTTGCAATTTTTAAACCAATTGATGATATCTGAAATCCAAAAGAACTGATACAAAATCGATTAAAAACAAACATTCCAAATCTTACAATATTAGTGTTACTACTAAAACTGGGAATGTGCATACAAAGATTTTACTACAAAGTAAACTTCTTATTTTGAGGGTCTAATCAGTGTACAATGTTAACAAATGACAAAAGTCAGTCAGTAAAAATCATGATGTACACCATCACCCCATCTCAGACCTTCTATGAAGAATGTACACAGGCAGTCTAGGTAAAGTTAACAAGGAATCTTAGCCAACTAACTCCCATGTCATAAGCTTTTTAGTTCTTATACAACCCCATGTTTTGGTCTTAGAACTGAACTCAAAGGCTAAATACATAATTGTCTGTATACTATTTTTGCTCACTGTGATAACATCAGTGGAATTTGGTATGTAAACCAAACCACATAAGACTGCTATTGCAAAACAAAATTTTCATCAATGACCAACTACCTTCAACAAATTTAACCAAATCTGGTTTGTTAAGATTTTTCTCAACTATCTACTTTACTTTATTAGTACAAACAAGCACCACACATTAAATTTGAATTTATGGAATATTAGTTAATGTTTCATTGAAATCCATTAACAGAATTCATAATAAATCAAAATTATAGACAAATAATACAGCTACAATGTACATTATATATCAACAAAGCATCTTTGTCAACACCATACATTATTTTTTGCCTTTGCACATTCAATAGACTTCAAATAGAGTGATGTATATGGTCACAAGTGTGTCTTTGAAAAGATATCCCATCTAGACTTAAATAATGTTCTCTTAGTTGCAAACAAAATCACTTTTCATAAGTACATGTAAATATGCTCATGTTCATAAATCAAGGTTGTTACTGAGTCTGATATGCTGCTGACAACAAGGCTCCTACATTGCTCAGGCCTGGTGACTGAGACCCATAGAGACCCATGGTGCCTGACTGAGGGTCCTGTTGTGTTTGTACAATCACCTCAGACTGGGCCACAGGCTCCAACGTATTCCTTATCACCCGGATTGTCTGTCCGTTATGAATGAACTCCTGTATGACACTACCCTCCGTGGTCCCATACACCACACTAGGTTCAGAGGTGTGGATGTCACTCTGGCCACCTATAACCACCTCCCTGGCTACCTGTGTATTGCTGGCTGAACACATCACAGCATTTCCATACTGACCTACCACAGCCACTGGTACTAAGTTACTGGTGTCTTGATATTGAACTGTTTCTGTGCAACCAGGTTGGTTGTTTTCCAGCTGTAAGAGAGTCTGGGTTGCTGTAGGAACTCCACCACTTTCATGGCCTGAAATGCCACTGCCTGTTGCCTGTGTGTTACAACTGTAGTTATGGATGGAAGAATTTACATCCTCAGTCTTACGGATTTTTGAAGCATAGTCATAATCTTTTGCCCTCCTTCGTCTTCTCAAACTGGTAACGAAGCATTCCACCTTGTGTTTGCTAGGAATATCAGCATGGCCTTTCTTTTGTACCAGTATCTTATGGACTTGTGATGGGGAGGAGACTTGATCTGAGAACGTCATAAGAACATCTCGGATGTCTTCATCATAATGTCCTCCTGATGTAGGTGGGGGAATCCACTCCACTTTGTCATCGACGTGTCTCCCTGAAATGCGTATCACCCACATGGACAAGTTGCTCAGGTAGATCTTTAAGTTAAGCAGGAGCGAGCAGTTGTGGCGGTCTTGTTTGTGTCTTGGGCCACTGCAACCTAGAGAAAAAAAATCACAAAAAATAAGAGAAATTAAGAAAAATATCCCATTTAATTGCTTTTTGTGTATAAGATAAATTTAGTTAGATACAAAAATGATAGAAATGTCTTAAATCTACTTACATCATCTACAAATTATTTAACAGTCTATTTTCAAAACAAATCAGGCTAAAATCAGCTGAAACTTTAAGTGTAAGTATTACCAAAAATCTATGCAGTTGATAATGTTTTCTGGCATTAAACAAATAACAAAATCCATAGCCAGCCCAAAAGTGGGATCAAGCACATGTTCATTAGCTTGTGGCCTTTCACGTACCATCCACACATTTTCCATATCCACCACACTGCCTCTTGCAGTTGCCCACACCAGAACACCACAGGTACCAGTTCACAGCATACTCATCTCTGATTGCCTTCTTTTGTATGGCCTCTATCTTCAGCAACCCCTCTGCCGTAGGGGTGAAGTAGTCATCCAGTCTATTCCGCTCATGCACCCTGCTTCCTCTCTTCCAACTCCCTGTATCTACGGCATTCTCCTGTCTTTGTAAATGGAGCAGGCTTCGTTTGACATGTCTCTTTCCTCTGACAAGATGGGTGTCTTTTAACACTTCATGTGTGGAGAGAAAATTCTTAAGTTCCACACCTACAGGGACTTCTATTATTTCTGCACCTTCGAGCAACTTTTTGTTTCTCTTAGCTTTTAAAATGTCTGCATTTCCAGAACCACCTGCTTTAGGTGAACCAGATTTACTATTTTCCCCATCTTCTTCAAAGTCATAAACATCAGTCTGTGCACTGCTGGTTTCATCATTATCTGCTGTCTCTTGAAAAGATGCCCTCTGTTTGACCTTTTTCTTTAAACTAAGCCTCGTGCTCTTTCTAGACGGGGGACTGATCTCTGATGAAACATTCAAGTCACTGTTCTGATCAAGATGAGATTTCTGCTGATCCTTATCATGCAAAGCAACCACAGGGTTACTGTCACTACCACTTTGTGCACCTTCCTTACTTTTAGGGTTTTTCCCACTTGGATATTGTGGTACAACAGTAATCTCACCATCTGAAGTCATGTTTGTCAGATAAACAATTGTTTGTTGCTGTCTTGTAAGTCTCTGTGGAATCACTGAAGCCGAAGCAACTTGCTCATCTGTAGTTTTAGGTAGCTGTTTCTCTTGTAACTGTGTCTGTTGGTTCCTTGAAGATCTTAATGTTGCCTTTCTGTTCTTGACAGGTGGTTCCTGAGTAGAAAGCAGAACTTGCATTGGCTGGTAGCACATTCACAGGTAAGTTGAATAGCGTCTTGTGGTCTACACATGCACAGACTAACCCACGTGTTACGTTCTCTTGGTTACCCATTAACAGACTAGTTGGTGTTGTTTTTTTGTAGTTAATGGGGTAAGTTTTTTTTTTAATTTCTATGTTTCCAAATGCATTAAAAATCACTTAATATGTTGTTTCTTTGATGTAATGTAAAGGGGGCGGGTTTATATCTTTTTGCATTAATTGTTGTTCTTATTCCTTGTCTATGAATTATCAATTTAATAGCTGGATTAGGATAAAATCTTTTTTGTTTGACAGTTATCATAAACCTATTCATCTGAAATTACTAACATTTGGTTAACATACAATGTATCATCAACAACATCAGCCTCCCCATTTTTTCCAAAAGAATATAGATTAAAACTTCATTTGAGAATTCCAAATGTGTGTATGCAGGCAATGCTGTTTTGATGTTGTACATATATATTTTTTGGCTGAACACTAATGAATTGTTGCAACATGAAGTAGTAGACACATCTTTGTAAAAAGCAATTTGGGCAACATATCCTTGCATTGATTAGGATTTTTGAAAATAGTGATCAGTAAACAAAAATTTCACCCAATTAAAAATAGTTGAATTAGATAGTAGTCTACATTGAACTTATCCGATTTTTATAAATTATGCTTATAAAATTGTCTTACTGGGGTTGTCTCTGCCTGCAGATGGGTGTGTGTTGTGACCACATTCTCCTTATTTCCTTGGAGCAAGTCCACAGCATGGGGAATGGCAGGTGTTACAAACTCCAGACATTCCTAGAGAAGACAGTGTTAGCATAACAAACACTTCTGAATTATTGTACACACAGCATTTTAATGCTCCTCTATAGAAATTCATGACAATAAGGCTACTGGTCTTTAATTGTTTAGCTAAAAAGAATCAACTGAAACATACCAAGGATCTAAAAACAGCTGAGTTTTAAGTTACCTGAGAACCTTTTTTACTTCCAGGTAAATTAATAATCAAGGTGCTTCCTCTTGTTCCACAAACAAGCCTGAAAGTAAAGCAATAAATCAAATACCATCTCATAAAGATAGAGTCCTGTCTCCATGCACAACTCATTTTATCATCAGTGGCAAGTTAAACAATCATTAAAACAATATCTGTACTTAGGGTGCATTCCCAGAGATTTAGGGTGCATTCCCATAGATTTTAGATTGATCTATCCCCGTGGGGAGTCTCACTAGATCACTGTCAGATAATCCGGCTTAAATGTCCGTCCCGCCTACTACAAGCTGTAAGGGGGTAATTAACTTCCGTGCCCGCTCGACTGACAGCTATTTAGCGTGAATCCCCAGGGAATTAGGTCGATCTAAATTGGATCGATCTAATCTCTGGGAATGGGGTCTTAGATCGACCTAACTCCCTGGGGGTTCACGCTAAATTGCAGTCAGTCGAGCGCGCACCATAGTTAATTGCCCTCTTACAGCTTTTAGTAGGCGGGACAGACGCTTAAGCCGGCTAAGCTGACAGTAATCTAGTGAGACTCCCCACAGGGATAGATTGATCTAAAATCTATGGAAATGGGGTCTTAGTGTCTGAGCTTTTAATTAAATGCTATGTCCCTAAATTGTTCATGTTATAGGTGTATCACATACACCTTACTGTCAGTAATATGATATATGCACAAGTGCAGGGCACAAGTGGATGCCACATATACCTTGTTGACAAGTATCACATCTCTGAGTTATACCATGGCAGATATTGAGAACAAAAGACCCAGATAAGCAGTATCTCTCATTGATGTGCAACATACATGTACTGTATGTGCAATACATCATGCTTGGGGTTTTTGGGGTCTGATATCTGCAATATGGTATAATAATATTTCCCTTGTTAATTCTAACCCACCTTGATAACATAGCTAAGGGAGTGACATCCAAGGAGGCTTTAATCATGGCTATGGTCATCCCTGGTGCTTCCTTGTGCAGAATGCTCTTTGTAGCCTGTGATGAAAAATAATGTTCATAATAAATCAACAACAACAACTGAATAGTAAAACAAGAAAAACATATTTAAACAGCAGCTGTAACCTACCTCCTTCTAGATGTGCTTTTGTTAATTAAACAGGAGGGAAAAGATTCGTATTAATGTTATCATATCTAACTAGCAAAATGTGCAGCTAATGAACATTATTTCTAGGCAAAAATATCTGACTTGCTACCAGTATTCATACACAATGTAATTCTTCCATAATCAAGCAGTGTTCTCCAGGACCATAGGCCAGAAGACTGTTACCTCTGGTGTAACATCCCTGGGAGCAAACCCTGTCCCCCCAGTGGTCAGGATAAGGTCAAGCTTTAGGGCATCACTCCATATTGTCAGCTTTTCCTAAAGGGAAAGTTAACATTTAGATTTTGATGGATTAATTACCGAATTTCTTCACTGCAAGATTGCATTTCTTATATTAAAATGTCACATCCATACATGTCACTGGGTGTTTAAATTTACATTTAAAGGATAACAACTGTTCATTCTGGCCAAAAATGGAATTTTTGTGGGGTAAAGGTCAATTTACCCATACTTAACAGTGGTAAATGAATCCATTCCAACATTCAAAGTTAGTTCCTGGGTTTTTTTTTAAGTTTGTTTTTTAAGGGATTACTACAAAGGGTAGCCATCTATAGAAGTCACATGGCTCAATGGCAAGCAGATTCCAGAATAATTGCAATAACCACTGTTGTGGTGGTAAAAAACAATTTATTATATTTCTGAGTTGTTTACAATGTATTTATTGGGAAATATGGATCTCATATGAAGTTGTTATCCCTTTAAAAAATCAACCATTACTCCACTAGCTCTGACAATGAAATATCAATTACATAAGTAGGATTAAGGGTTTTAAAAAATAGTAACTGGTATATTACTAGGTGTTGTATCCATCTGCAATCTTCTCTAAATCTTATATTCATTTTTTACCTTTATCTGCTCAATATCATCTGGCACACAGGACTGAACAACCACCTTGCCAGGGATACTGAAATGAAGATAAAGAAATATAAATAACAACCTGCATGTTACTTAAGGGACTGTTCAGAATGTTTTGTGTTGACCTATTCAATGCACATTAACTCTACAGGGACTCTCCCTGAATGCAATCAGATTAACAGACTAAGAGGCCTCCTTTTGAGCCGCGTGAGAGGCGGAGAGACCATTACAGGATTAAGCGGTCTTTCTTTTATGTAGGGTCTGCCATATTTGAGCCTTGGACCAGTTGATACTCGGATCTTCTATTCTGAATGGCCCCTAAGATCCACAAGGACTTAGACTTAATGCTTACTGTTATCATTATACTAAAATATGCATTTGCAATTCATTTGTTGTTGTTGATTTACTTAATAAACATAAACCCCAATTTACCATTACATCTACAACTAGTTCAAGTAAAGTATACATGGACTGTGTGTAAACTTTTCAATCTTTCACCTTAACTTACATTTTCTTGTCTTCAATAAGAATCTTTAAATTTGCTGAACTTTTATCTTCTGCTTTGCCTTCAAAACAGGAGTCGCTGGCTGTAAGATGTTAAAACATTTGCTGTGCATATTACAGTGTTATAGTAATAAGAATTGAGATTTGAGGGCGCATAAAATCAAACAGCACAAAAACTGCAGAATATCATGCAAAGTAATAATATTAAATATAATTACTCAATTAAACACTTATTAAAAGTAGCATGAAAATTCATATGTTAGCACTTCTATTTTACATTTTCTGATACACTGTATATGCTAACTGATATATATGTATAGCACATATAATACATATCATACAGACAAGATAATATATGACACTTTGCCAGGCTAATCGAGATCTTTGACTGGGTTCCCATCCCTAGATCGATCCATCTGGATTGGTCTAACTCCCTGGGGAGTCTCACTAAATTGTTATCAACTAACCTGCTTAAATGTCTGTCAGGCATACTGAATCAGCTAGGGGGTAAAGATAATTACCCCCTAACAGCTTTACTAGGTGCAACAGACATTTAAGCCAGCCAAGTTGACAGCAATTTAGTGAAACTCCCCAGGGAGATAGATCGATCCAAATATCTGTAAGAATGGCCCCTTAGTCTCTTGGGCTGCATTCAGAACAGTGGACTAGCTAGTTAAATAGGGTCGCCATATTGACCCTCGGACTTGTTAGTCCCCTATTATGAATAGGGCTTTTGACTCTTTTGAGAGTGAAATATTGTACCAGTTGGATCAACCCAACTCTGTGGGCCGGGATTCTCGCTAAAGTGCATTCAGCAAAGTCAGCTTAATTGTCTGACATATCTCCTTGAATAGCTAGTTAATTAGACCGCATTCACAATGATTTGAGCCAGGCTTTACAAATCTAGGGACTAAATATGGCGGACGTACATGAAAGGAAAACCGCCTAATCTTTTAATAGTCTCTCCGCCTCTCACACGCCTCCCCACACGTCGTCCCTGCGGGGTACAGTCATTAATTCTCGGCTCCGTTCGCCATGCGGAAGCTACCTGAGAAATATTAAATGTGCATGCTCATCAATTAAACTCAAGGTGAAGAAAGCATGGCAGCTGGAGGCGATCGAAGGAAAAAAGCTCTTCTGTTCTATTATCTTTCAAAACAGAGACGAAAAAGAAATGAATTGGCCCGTAGAGCAGCAATGAACCGGCTATCTACGGAGATAATGTCACCATAGATATTCACAGAGATACCCAGCCCCAGTAGACAGAGGAGGAGGAGGGCAGAATTTTTGCGTATGCAGTCTCGTCAGAGGGCGCAGTTCGTTCTGATGCTGATGTTTGCCTTGTTCCCTATGCCTGATCGAACTGGAAAGGGAGGGGGTGTTTTCACGATTTTGATCCCGATTCATAGCTGCTCTACGGGCCAATTCATTTCTTTTTCTCAGGTAGCTTCCACGTGGCGAACGGAGCCGAGATTTAATGACTGTACCTCGCAGGGACGACGTGTGAGAAGGCGTGTGAGAGGCGGAGAGACTATTAAAAGATTAGGCGGTTTTCCTTTCATGTATGTCCACCATATTTAGTCCCAGAATTTGTAAAGCCTGGCTCAAATCATTGTGAATGCGGTCTTAGTTTATCACCACCTAGAAACTCAATGAGGCCCTCCTACATTTAAGCCGATTACAGTTATTGCACTTGGGGAGAATCTCCAGCAGAGTTAGATCGATCCAGCTAGTACGATGGGTTTATCTGAACGCTCCCTACATTTGTCCAATCAGTATGCCTCTGTCGTGACGCTGGTAACGCTTACATAGTACAGCTAGGAGCCTAAAAGGTTGTAACTGTTCAATATCAACTAACATGAACAATCGGACTTACGTGCAAAGTTATAAGAAACCGTAACTTACACCCCTTTGGGAATAGGGTCACAGATCCCCAGATTTTTGCCTCAGATTTCGGCTTAATTGCAACCTAAATTTTCTCAAGTTCGAATCATGGGGCAACCAAGATCGGTGCGCATATGTTGGTTTTTGCCCAGAAATTATATAATTATGTCATAGAACAGTTTTTTCTAAATAGTCTAACTAAACCTGTTGTACATTAGATCTACATGTATGTGAATGCATCACCTGTTAGAATGCCTATTTTGATTTTAGTGCCATGTTCCATTTCCGAACTCGTCGCCATTTTGCGTTGCCGAACTCGACTAAATAGCCTCAAAACAACTTAAACAAAATAGTTTATTTATATTTATCTTTCACAAAATTTACGTGTTATGTTTCCTATTTCTCATATTTTTGTTTTTTATATTTAAATTGAGAGAATAAGTAAGAAGCTCAATTTTATGTAAATAATATGTACAATTAGTATTTTTTCTATAATTTGGAGATTAATGTCTCAGGGGGTGGTGCCTGTCTGCGAGTGGAACATAAGTTTATACATGTGATGATAGTGTCAAGTCTCTCTGCGTCAAAAACAATAATTTGATATTATTTTGTAGATAAGAGCCGTACAGTCAGTCAGTACCACAATTATTATATTTTGCAGGTAACGTTTACACAGGAATTCTCTAGGCGGGATGATTTTAGTTTACTTTACTCTCAGTCGTAGTCGACATTGATCAGCTGTTTATTGTTTTGGTACTTCTGCGTTTTGGGCCGGTTTACTTTATCTGGCATTTTAAGGTTATATTTGCACCACGATGACCAAGCGACTTCAGAATCACTGTCATGTCAGCAGAAAGTGAAGTGGAGACGAACGGTACACCCGTTTTAGTACGTTTCCAAACTGACCCTCTCAGTACTTCAGTGTCTGAAGTCGAAAATGGAGATGTTGCTGCCGTTGAGATAGTAGCTGTTGCTGCACCAAAAGTTGGTGATGAGCTCAAAGATGATGTAAGTATGAACTCTTCGATCAAGCTCTCAGATTACTTGTATTGCATTGATTTAAATGGATAAACATTTATTCATTGTGCAACTATTTATGGTCTGTCTTTGAGATTAAGTGCTCAATGCATAATGGTAGATAAATTATATAAAAGTTAAGATACCTAAACAAATGCATTAATGAATAAATGAGTACATAAATTTCACATGGATGTTTTATTCTGTTATTTTAAAAAAAAAAATTAATTAAAATGTACAAATATTTAAAGAAATTTCTATATTTTTTATGAGTTTTATGGACAGATACTATATATATATATATATATATATATATATATATATATATATAGCACTCGATATATAGCACTCGTCTGCATCTAACTCTAAGGAAAGCTTACAAGAGTGATTCTTAGGAACAAAATAATGTTTGTTTATCATTATTTATTATTTGATTAATTGCGACAGAATACAGATTCAAGAATGAGGGTTCCATGGGGGGAGAGGGGTACTGATCACAGTTCACAGGAAATGCAATTAACAATCCACAAATCACAGTAAATAATATTTTTTCTCCCCACCTTTTATGGTTAAAGGAAATGACACCACATTACACAATAGGAATCTATTATTTTACCTATTAGGTTAAAAAATATAAAGGTGTTATTCATCTCTGGTAAACTGTGTTTACCCAAACAAGGTTGGGAATTAGAACAATGGGTTAACACCCATTGTATTAACACAGAATAGGAAGTGACTCCAAAGTCCCAAAAGCTGAAATATAACCATAAAACAGAGCAAAAAATCCTCGCCTTTTTTATTTTCCTCAAAAATCCGTAGCAGTTATAAATAAAACTTTATTCATATCTCATTGACAATGCAGAAACTATGAGTTGAGAATCACAAATCACATGGTGTAATGACTTTGTTTTACAAAAGGTGTAGAATGAAAAGCCCCATTCACGGGAATGGGGTGCTTCACCAATCGTATTAAATGATATGAAAATTTCACACATCTCTGTAAATAAAAAGTAGCTTCCACAGGTAACAGATATGTATTCCCAGTGGGATCCTCCAGAATATATACTGATTTTAATTCAAGAACAATTTGTTTCAGGATCTTCTGCTTGCAGCCACACTTGTTCAAGATGCAGTGCATGGACAAGATATTGGGTTTAAAACAGATCCTGCATCTGTCAGGTATAGTTATATATTTGATTTCTAAGATTTGATTAAATATGTATAGATTTTTTAAAAACTACTCAGCTACAAAGCTAATGAATCTACAACTGTCTTTGGGCAACATGTGGACAACAGATGCATGCAACTAGGCTTTCTAGTAGTTTTAAATATAAGGTTTGCAGCCAGTGCTCATAGATGTATCAGCACTGGTACTTTAACCAAGATAAAGCCAAACTTGATGGGAACACAACTTATTTGTTTCAGAGCATATCGCTTGTATAACCATAGAGCAATGAGATGGGGTCTGTACTTTGCCATCTTACTGAATTTGTGCCTGGGTCTTTTTGAAAAACCTGCAACCTGGCCTCTCCCAATATGGGTAATGGCAAAATTTTTTATTTGAAAAAAATTAACTTCCTGTATTTTGAATATTTTAATAAAACATTATATGATATCTCCAAAATGAAATGTAATATAGTTTGGTGTTTATTTTTTAACTTTCTTCCTTTATCTATTTCAAAGATAGTATTTATTTCACAGAAGTTAATATATGAATATAAATTGAATGTGATAATGAGACAACTAGTACATTGTTTTTTTAACCACATAATGTACACAAATTAGTAAACTTGAACGTCCAATTTTTCAGGCCACCATCAGTGTAGAAGGACTGGTGCATGCCTTTTACATTTTTAGATTTTTTCATGGGAAACATTTTGCAAAACCTGGATTTTGGAAAGATACGAAGCATGTAGTTGTTTTGGTCACCATTATAGTAAGTATATCTACATTTGCCTTCAACATAATTTTGTGATTATACCATATAAAATTGCAAATTATATTTAATTAACTTTGATTTTTAGAATATTTCTCTGTTTATCTGTTGTGGCATCTGTTTATAGATTCTGCTTGGTTTTAGTTGACCTGTCTAGATATGATAATCTACATATTTTGGATTAACCTGGCCCCCTATGCACACCCAGTTAGATGGTCAAGAGCTCTCAGGCCATTATATATGATCAATTTTGCTGAAGGAAGACAGGTTAGTACTCTGTTTTGTCATTTTATTGATCAATTTTATTAATGTTGATTTTATTGATCAGTTTTATGCAAAGTGAATTAATTAAGTAACTGGCATTTGAATTTAAATGGGTTCTATAAAGATAATTTATTATTTAAGTTGGTTTCTAAAGTTAAATAAGTTGACAGAAAATTTCTTGAGTTTTCGCCATAGAGGCAAAATACATTTTCCTTCCTTTTTTTTAATAATTGTAATTTCTTCTTTCAGATTAGAAGAGCCTTTAGGAACATACGCCGTACCCTGCCAGGCATTCTAAATGTACTGGTTTTATTTTTCTGTAGTGTGCTTTTATTTGCCCTAATGGGCTTGAAAATATTCCAAAAAAGGTAAGTAAGATAGTAACCTTTCATTTTTTAGACTTGCTTGAAAAAATGATAGATATCAGCACTGAGTAAACATACTTGACTTGATACTTGACTGATATAAAAGGCATATATAACCATTATTTGTAGATTAAAAGATTATATTCAGTGGAGATGGCTTGACCTAATTTGCTACAGTGTATGACCCATCACAGCAGTCTGTCAAGTTCAGATTTATTTGTCCTAGACATTCAGCCAACTCAGTAGTATGCAGCCTCACTTGATAACAAGATAATGTAAGAGTTAGATACCTGTGAAAGTTGAAGATGGGTTGATCAAACAGAGAGGGGTCAGCCCATTTGTACTGGAAATGTTCCTTAAGTTAAGCACAGTGGTAAATGAAAAGACAATACAATACAATACAATGCTGTCACTTGTAGGGCTCCCGCACAGTAAAGATGCATTACCAGGAAACCTTGAACCTTTTGAACATATATGAATGATGCATAGGACTAGAATACAGCTCAAGTTAGAAACTAGAATGGTTGGATTTTTATCTTGAAGTTCTGGGTTTTCTTATTATATTTGATCTTTTTGCTTACTCAGAAATGAGATACAGTGAAAACTGAGATGGAAGTTAAGATAAAGGGTGCAAAAACAAAAGAAAAACAAAAAATTGTAGAGCAGCAAAGCTGAGTGAACTGTGTTGAGGTTGAAACCTTGCAAATAGATAGTGAAGCATGTCTTCTTTTTTTGGGAGGGAGGGGTGCACATATTCTTGTTGAAATTCCCTGTTAATGTATTACAGTTGTTGGTGTGACTGGACTAACTTCATCCTCAATCTTGTCTTTTGATGCAGAAAGCTGAAAAACTTGGATGGCAGTCCATACTTTGAAGATTACTGGGAGAGCATCTGGGCATTATATGTACTAGTCACTACAGCCAATGATCCAGATATCATGTAAGCATTAGAATTTTAAAATAATACCATTTTTGTTACATTTGGTCCCATGGCGTTAAAAGTCAGTTTGGTATGTTTACAGTGGTAATGATTGGATGTACACATTTTTCTTTTTAAATTGGTGCGTTTTTGGATTTTGCTGTTATAAATATGAGTCTCTTTGCAAGATTTTTAAATCTTAAAAGTCACTTCAGATGCACATTTATTATACTTCTACATTTTTCTCTTTCAGGATGCCTGCATATGACAATGACAATTGGTCTGCCTTGTTCTTTGTTGTCTATCTTCTCATAAACTTGTACATCTTCATGAGTATTTTGTTGGCTGTTATTTACAATAACTATAAAAAACATCTAAAGGTGAGCTGTTATGTAGCTATTTTATGTCTTTTTTCATACTGATCCTTAGAAAAGATTGAAATATTGTTTTACAGTGATCATATACATGTACATGCAGTAATTAATAGACTTTAAATGATTCCAAATTAAATTGTTTAAATATTATAGTGGTAAAATACACATATCTTTATTAATTTGCAGAATGAGGTGAGAATGGCTGTAATATCTAAACGCAAGAAACTATTTCAAGCCTTCGAAATTCTGAAAGTACAGAAGGATGGGAAGGAAGTTTTGACTGAGGAACGATGGAGTTTGTTAATGAAAGCTATATCAAATAAGAGGAGTGGTGCACAAATAGAACTGCTGTTACATGTGCTGGATGAAGATGGGGATAACTGTCTCTGTAGGTGGTTTAAAGGAAAGAATATAGAATTTTGTATGAAAAATTCAGTTCAGTAATTTTGAATTACAAGAACTGTAACATATCACATACTTTTCTTAGTTCTAAAGCCAAACAATAATCTATAGATATACTGTATTTTAAGAACATTTTTTTCACATGGTTTAAACTGTGTGAACATATTATCAGTCTACTTTGTGTTTTAAGGGGGTATTGAGAAGAGGTAGTAATTTCATTACCTAAAAGAATGTATTTTGACTGTAGTCAATAATACAGGCCAGCAAAATATGAATAGGATTATTAAAGATTATGACATTGTCATGTTATCTTGGTAATGTGTGTGTGTTTGTGTGTACATGCGCATGTGTGTGTGCCACTTTCAACTGAGAACCAGTGCATTTGTGGGGATATGCAGCATCTCTGATTAGATATTAACCATTTTTTACTGGATTTGCAAAAATTTTTTATTTCTTAGTTATATTACTTACAAGATAAAATTTGTATTAACTTGTTTATTTTTCCACCACAGACGTAAGATTTTGATTGATTTGTTGACACTTAGAAAAAACTAAGTATTCAGAGAGACAAGTAATAGATGTGATGAACCTGCTGAGCATGAGTACTTGTTGCATAGGTAGTTTGTGCATTCATATATATATCTTTTGTTTTGTTTTAGTGAGAACAGAGTTCTTGAACCTTGTAGACTTGCTGAATGTGCCCTTAACAGAGGTCCATGACAGGAAAACACTATTTGAAAAGATGTGTCCATCTCTTTATCTGTCAAGAGTCAGTGAAGTTGTCAAGATGTGTGTAAAACATAGGTAAAAGAGGGAATTTGTTATTATTTCTATTATATATATTTAATGTATTTTAATATTGTAGATTTTGAAATATTTGTATAATCAATTTACAGTGTATGTAGTGGCTTCTTTAAAGTGCTTTTTCATTTCAACCTTTTTCCAATTTTTATGGATATAATTTGTATTTATATATGATTTCCATTTGTACATTAACATTTTAGGTTTTTTCGCTACTTCTTTGACTTCATGATTGTGGTGAATGCTGTTTTCATTGGACTGTCTTTAGATGATGCAGAGTGGTTTTTCTTAGTGCTGTTTGCCATGGAAATATTGCTTAAGATGTATGCCTATGGCTTCAGGCAGTTTTTTTCATTGTTCTGGAATTGGTAAGTAATGTTACTGGCATTGAAAATAATTCCAGTCCTGTTAACGCATTATAAGGGAAAATACTTTCTGCCGAAGGAAATAAAAAAAAAACGTAGAAGGATTCAACAAGGTATCGATGCATGGTTTTGTTGCTGTTATAGATCAGTTTGTTTTCCTGTAGTGCAGACAGAGAGGAGAATGCCAACATATCACAGCTTTCTATCAATTTTCTCTACTATAATTTACTTTTTTAAAAACATTATTTGCATCTTTTTTTCAGTCCTCAAATTAAAAAAAAAAGACTCAAGAAGGAAAATTTTGCTTATTGTTTACATTTAATTCATGGTTGTACAGGATATTTCTAGGATTAATGATGTCTGTACAGACTAGATGCATCATCAGGTGAGGTATATCAGAATAGTTCAGAATAAGATCTCTTTGCTGTAATAAGTTGATAACGTATCAAAGATTTATGATCAGATATTTAAATCTTTTCATTATTTTGTAGGTTCGACTTTTTAGTCATATTCAGTGCTTTGATAGCTACTATAATTGAAGCATTGCTGCAAGAATGTAAGTGTGTGCTTTCTTAAAACTTTGCTGTTTAAGCACATATTCCCAAAGCTGAACAGAAAAATATAAAGTACTGGTGTTTGCTCTACAAAAAGGCTATGAAATTTCTAAAAAAAAGGTAATTAAAAGAAGGAGTGACATGACATATGAGGTTTTTGTTTTTGATTCATTGATTTCACAACAATTTAGACAAACATGTAACAACATTTAAATGATATTATGAACACATTTTCAAACATGAAATGTGTTCACTTTTTCATGAAATGTGACTTGCATTCTTTAGGGCAAGATGAGAGCAACACCTTAGATATTTTACTGGTTTTAAGGGTCTTGAGGCTCATTAAGATAATAGGAAGCATCGACAGGTAGGCAGTACTTCATCAGTGGTAAAAAATTCAGATTAAAATCTTTCAGCATGTTGCTTTTTTCTTTTGTTTGAGATATGAGAAGCATAAAGAGCGAATGGCAAATATGTCCCTTAGTTTGGTGTGACATACAATTCTGAATAGACCAATGGCTGATATATATGATACTGTCAAGTTTGTTTTTTTTTCTCTTTAGTTTCATTGGAAATGAGACTCAGTCTATGTAGATCAATTCAACTCCGCAGGCACTCTCGCTGTATGCAATCAATTTAACAGTTTAACACGCCTCATGCCACCGAGTAGAATACAGAAAAGCTGCTGATTTTAGAGTATGTTAGAAGCAAGGGGAGGCATGTCAATCTGTTTTTCTGATTGCATTCAGCCTAAGTATCTGCGGAGTTGGATGGATATATATATAAAACAGTTGTTTCATTGGGAATGAAGCCTAGAAGCAGAGGTGAAAGTTTTTCAGATTTATACAGGAATCTGGAAATTTGCCAAAAAATAAATAATATGTATATATATATATATGAAATTTACACTTTGTTTTTTGAGGGGAGGAAGGGGGCATTTTTGGTGGTTGTATTTTTAGAATATTTTTTAAAGGTTAACTTTTATCTCTGTTGATGGCTGAGTGAAAGTAAACTTTATCTTTATATTCATTTTTGATGATGAAACAGGCATTTACTTCGCTTTTTGCATTTTATTTCATTAACTACTATAGTGTTATTCAATATTGTTTCTGTTTAACCTTCTTTTATGTTTTTTCTGTTTGATTTTGTCTTTGGTTACTAGTTGGGTCTTCTTTGATGTGGCTAGTGTGTAACTTGTCCTCTGCCTTAATGATTTGTTATGAACTTTTATTAAGTACCCAATCTTCATACAAGACTGAACAAAATTTTCATAATTAGCAATATATCTGTATTGTTTTTTAGAAAGGTATAAGGATACAAAGCCACTTTGAATTCACAGCTCTCTGTCTTAAAGTTAATTTTGAATCTTTTAGCTGTGACCTCCCATTTTGGCACCTCCTTGTTGTTTGCTGCAAATTAGAAAATGTCAGTAGTTATTCTTATTTCTCTATCTGTTTTTTGTTTCATGCATTTTTGTTTGTTTTTTAAGTCTCTATATCTGTGTGTGGTGCTTGACACTGTTTGCACTGTTTGAGCTTTCTCTTCATTCTACCAGATTTAAGGTGATTGTGATGACAATCCTCAACATTGGACCTTCCATTATAACATATGGAGGAGTGATATTTGTAAGATTTTTTCTAAGTTTTGCCTTGTTTCCATGTGCATACATTTGTTTTTTTGGAAGAAAAAGCTGCTGAGGTTTTTTTTAATTGTAGCAGACAATTTCTTAAGATTTATTGTAAATTTTTTTAAAAAGTTTGTATGTAATAATGGCATTATAGGATACATTAATGATAATTTAAAAACTGTTATGTCTTAAGATTCTTTTTAGGATAATAGCTTGCCCTTGTTATTTTTAAAACAATAATATAAATGTGTATTTAACAAGTTATCAAGATCTTATTCATACAATAAGCCAAATAAAAGGCAATAATTAATTTTTTATCATTCTTTATGTTTCAGGTCTTCTATTACATCTTTGCTATCATTGGCATGGAAGTATTTTCAGGCCTTGTTGCCTACTATCCCTATGATACAAAGAACCAAAGTCAGTTGTTCTGTGGCAATCCTGCTTTGAATGGATCTGAGTTTGCCAGAGAGCGATACTGCAGCAACAACTTCAGCAATATCTTGAGATCATTTGTGTTGCTATTTGAACTGACAGTGGTAAATCAGTGGCATGATATCCTTGACTTGATTGTGCAATAAACTACAAAGTGTACTTTGTTTTATGTAACATTTTGTTCTTGTCCTTTCAGTGGAAATTGAATTATTTTGAAAATTGTTGTGTGCTTGATTACATTGCATGGTACATACAGAGGCAGTTTTAGAAAATGTTGATAAATATATGTTTATTTTAAATTTTTTAATTTATATTTTTTTAAAATTAATCTTTTAGTTGTACATTTATTATTTTTTATTTCTATTCTATATCAATGGTATTGGAAGTATTGTAATAAAAATGATTGATAAATACTTAATGGCAAACTAATATGAGAGGTTCCAGTTATTTTCTTAACGTCCTCACTCCTGACATCGGGCTTTGTTTTGGTGACAAGTAAAGCTGCAAGGATTTATTTCTTTACGTTTCATCTGATTTGTGTAGTGATCATTCTGAAGTAAGTTTGAAGCATTTTAATATTAAATAATGTTTTCATAGATGTGAATACATGTATAGTCATAATACCATCGTCTTTGTTAAGTTACTTTTGGTAAAAATGGTCAACAATTAACACAAAGAATATTGTTCTTCAGATATTTCATTTCATTACATATCTAAAGCTTGCCAGCTTAAACTTAGTCTTAATTTGTCGTTTATTGTTGATATATGATTGATGACTTTAATATATATATATATATAAATGGTTTTGTAAATAAAACCATTTAATATATATATATAAATGGTTTTATTTACAGCATTTTCACAGCTTTTGTATTGGAGGCCTTTATCCTGGAATATTCCTTGTCAAAAGGGAAATTTGAGCACAGAATTGAGCAAAAAATCAAAGAAATGGGATACAGTATTGGACAGTAAGTGTTTAGGAGAATTTTTTAAAAATTGCCTAAATTTTTAATTTAACGGACTGGGAAATTCAGTCATTTAAAAGTTTGACAAATATACTTTGAAAAATGAGCTGTATCAATAGACTATTTATCTTCATTTTAAACTGAAAATGATGCAATATATTCTGTAGGAAAACGGAGCCAGGTCCCTTAAAGATGAGTGTTAAGCATGACAAAACTGGACTTGTGGACAACATAGAGGAGCATCCAACAGAAGAAGAGACCTCCACCTCCACACAGGAACAAGATGGAGGTTTAAGCAGGTCAAGTTCTAATACAAGTCTTCCTGATTTAGCTTTGGAAAAAGGAATGAGGTTCCACCTGAAGAAGAGAAGTAAGTGCATTTTGTGAAATCTATTATTTATTTATTTGTTTGTTTGTTTGCTTGTTTGTTTGTTTGTTTGTTTGTTTGTAGATTTAATAGATTTAAGTTTTACTTTTTTAAAAACATTATTTGCATCTTTTTGTCAGTCCTCAAATTAAAAAAAAAGACTCAAGAAGGAAAATATATGGAACATCAGTCCATTAATTGATAAATATTTTTCGTTATAGCAAAGTGTCCTTGCAATAAGTTTGCACAATCTGAAATTATTTTATTTAATTTTGACTCTGTCCATGTGTAGGTCGCAAGAAAGTGGAAGTGTTACTTCAATACATGTTTGAAAACGAGTTGGGACCTGAAGGCCTGCTCGATATTGACGATGTCACCAATCTCCCAGAGGAGGACGTCAAACCTTTCCCTCTTACCCTAGACAATGTCACATGAGACAGTTTATGACACAGGTGATGCTAGCTTGCATGTCACTTGACTTTGAACACATTTTTGGTGTAAATAAAAAAATTGAGTCATTTCTAGGCAGAAGTCAGTTCAAACCGTACATTTGACCAGGCTTCACTTTGTCCCTGAGTAATTACTTAATATCAGCACATTGGTATTCCTAAGTATATAAAAAGCTACCTGCCCAGTGCACCAGCAAGCAACCTGTGGAAGACTGGCATTATTATGTCCTATTATGTAAACAGAAATTCATGGTAAGCACAGGCCATATATTTGCATTTATACATAGAAATGTAATATGATACTGATAGGCACAATGCCAATTTTCAGACTTATAATGGTCAAGTTATAATCTCCATCATGATTAACTGTATTATCATTTTGTGCAACATGATTGTTAATATACACCCAATAGATGTCCCTTTATAAATTATTAAGGAGTTGTTGATGTTTGTATGTTAATTGATGACAAAATCAATTAAGTTTAGATTAATAATTTTTGAGGAATGGGATATTTTTAATATAATATTAAAGAATTGGTCTGAATTATTACAAAGAGATTATTCTTCTAAAAGAGTTATATATGATGAAGATATATAGATTGTTGTCTCCACATGCCAGTGATATATCAAGCACAATGAAGTGCTAGGCCAAATTTTTTGGTGGATTATTCATTCTGATAAATGAAGAATAAACTTGAGATTTCGTGTTACTTGGAGATATTTTAGGTTTAGATGTGCAATATGATTTATACCTGATTTATAGTAGAATGGAGAAAGAAAACAATGAGTGTGTAAGCAAAACATATTAAAGTATTTAACATAAATATTGAAAAAGGATATTCAATTAAGATACATGTCATAAGTGATCAGCTGTCAAAATAGAAAATATAGTTACTACCCTGAGTTTGAGAGGCCATTTCTGAGCATACTTATTAACTTCATGAAGTGTTTTATTTTATTTCATTTATTATTATTATTTATTATTATTATAATTTTTTTTATTTGGTTACTTGAACGTACTCACTGAATGCCATGTGAATGTTTCTCAAACAGTTTTATTGCCTTATCTTTTGACCAGATAACTGAATCACATGCATTTATATGGTCTACAAAACTGAATTGGAATTGGTGATTGGATTGGTATCTCAAGATTAAAAGGTCAAAGATAAAAGTGGATGGAATATCTGCTTATTTGCCAGGATTGCATGACCATCAGATTGTAAAGCTCAGGCTAGATTTTGACTTTATATATCTATACATATACGCTGTGGATATCATAACAGAGTTGGTGCTAAATATAAAATATATACTGTACATTGCCATTTTACAACTATGATAACAGAAAAAATAATATCAAATACTCATTAAGTAATTTTTCATGAGATTGAGATGTTATATATGTTAAGAGGTCAATGAAGACATTTATAGATTGCTGATATTCTATGGTCTAATAAAATTCATGCTGATTGGTACAGTGACTCCAGTGTTTTGTTTCATATTGATAAAAAGTGTGAGACATGTCTGAATTTAAACCTCAGCTTTTATATGAAACTAAACATGATTTTGATTAAAATTAAAATTTTAATTATCAAATGCACAAGGGGCAAGTATTTGCATCAAAATTTATTAACTTTAGAAAATGACCAACGTAGAATATGACATGTTTACGAATTGGATTTTTACTGCGTAAGTCATACAAACATTTTTATGTTACATTTATTGTTTTTTGATGTTCAAATAATGTCACTTGTAGATTTATGGCTGTTACATGCAAACTAAAATAAACTTTAATGTATTTTTGCCATATTCCCCCACCCCCACCCCATACCTTTTTTCAATACCAGAATGACCCCTACAAGAGGCAGTTAGAAAGCACTTTGTGGCCCAAATAGGCAAGTTCCATATTTTTCAGAATGCCCAAGTTTTTTTAAAATCCTAACAATGGACTGTGGTCTTCAGAAGGGGTGAATGGGCACAATGGAGACTTCAGAAGCATGTTTTATATCTAGTTTTGAAAGCTGCTCTTGTTCCATCACATTTCAACATTGAACTCGGCTACATATGTAGATTGCCTATACCTTTTGCATCAGCCCTTTCTCAAAGTAGAGTTCAAGTCATAAGACTTGGCCATATATTCATAATTGCTTAATTACAACTTTTTCAGCAAATAAATTTTTAAGTTGATAGGTGGACTCACCATGAAATAAATCCCTGACATCATGTACAGTGTATTTTTCTTGTTATGATGGGGTTCTCCAAAAGCATAGGTTTATTATGTCGTACATAAATATGGTTTAGTACCTCGTAATATGCATGTTTCTGTTGATGAGGAGATTTTGACTCCAATACCAGTGACTATAAATAACTGGACCACATACTGGACAAGGAAGTTTTTTTATTTGATTTCTTATCAAAAGGTGCAATATATTTTTCACTGCTTTAAAGTGGAAAATGATAAAGGCTTATCTATTTGTTACATGTACATGTACATTGAATACCAGGGCAGAGAGGGACCACCTGGTAACTTTGTCTTTTCTCTACGCTGAAATTTTACGACCCTTACTCTTGGTAAAGGACGGATACAGCAATATGGCATATTCCATAAGGGATAATAATCATAGAAGAAATATTGAAACATATTCACTTAAAGTGGGAGATGGGCAATACAAACAAAGACTGGATCTAAAGTCTAGGCCACGCTCACGATCACTTTGCACTCAATATAACAATTTAGCTTTTGTGCAAGAAGTGGATATTGATCTGGAAGAGGAGCAGCGTTGTGATTTACCAACAAGGCAGAGATCTGTTTCATTTGCTTTGGTGGATGAAGAACCCACCAGATTAATCCAAAATACATATGACCATTGTCCTGTAAATGAGGTGAGTACAATATGGCTGTAAGCATTCATAAAAAATGGAGATTGAAAAAATGGAACAATTGGTTGTTTGACTTCAAATTTTTTTTCATTAAAAATAATGATTTTTAATTTTACTTTAGGAGTGAGAAGTTAGAAGTTAGGAGTCTCATTTAAGACATTTTATTATAATTATTTCACATTGTGGGATGCTTTTCCGAACTGGAATTTTGCTAGAATATTATAGGATTGCACCCAGTACTTTTCCTCCAGCATATCTGTGTGCAAATATAATTATAATAACAATAATAAATAGCAATAATAATAAAATAAATAAAAAATTAAGATATTAAATAGGTGAAGATGATATGTGGCCAACTATTCATATTCCCATATAATTTTATGCTGATATTATTCAGGCTGTGTGTGGGTAGGGTGGAGGTGACTGGAGACACTTACATGTACTTGCCCTTTAGACTCTTTAAGAATGTTTGTTTTGGATGTTAACCTGATAATGATAAAAGTGAGACAAGCAATTTTTGCCACCCTTGATAAAATGCATTAGTACAATCTTTTTTTTTTTTAATTTCCTTTCTTCAAATAGTGGTATTTCAATTTTCAATGACTGACACAAAAAACTTACAGTTCAATATATTACAATTTTAATTAAAATTTCAGATGCCTGATGGCTATATTGAACTTCATCGATCCCTTGCAAATGGAATTTCTTCGGCTTCCAACCCAAACATTTCTTCAAGCAGTGTCAGACCTGCATTGCGTAGAAGCTCTTCAGATGGATCACTTTCACAGTTCCCTCTCTCACTGAGAAGAACTAACAGTGTTGTGTCCACCACCAGCACACATCCTGAACTTACAAACGAGGTAAGGTTTACAATGTCTGACTGTCTGCTTTTAATAGTGCAGGGGCGTAACCAGACATTTTAAAATTGTACGCACAGACTTTCAAAATCCCCAGGTACGATTACATTCCGTGAAAAATACACTGAATTTATGGAGAATAATAGCATGGTTGGCCCAAAAAAATTGTATGCACAGTGCATCCGTGCGTATGCCTGGTTACGCCCCTGATAGTGTACAGTAGTTTTGTTGTAACACCATCTTCTTGTCAATATAGATTTTTGTTTTTAAAAGTTTTCTACATGGTTAATTTTTTCATCTTCAACTGAGTGATTTGCCTGTATGATAGGCCTTCATTAATATCAAATTTTTTTTGGAAGTCTTACGAAGTAAATAATAACTTGTTTGTATCTAACAGGAACTTCTTCTGGCAGCAGTTTATGTAGAAGATGCAGTTTGTGGCAGAGATATGCAGTTTAGAGAGGATGCTAAATCTGTAAAGTATGTGTTGGACATTTTTTAAAATTGATATTATCATAAGATATATGTTTGTAAATTTATAGTAATTGTTATACAGTAATTTTTATTTTGGAAAAATACTCTTGGAGATACAATACATGCATTTATGTGAATTCTGTTATGTCAAAGTGTGAAAAAAGGGGGAGCTAGGAAGGAGCACAGAGACACATATTACCTTCTTTCAATTAATTTCTTACCTCTGACAAGGCGGTTATGTTTTTGGTTCCGTAAGTATGGACATGGACAGGTTTTGATAAAATGTTCAGGATAGGCACACACAAATGGGCCATGGAAAAAATGATAAGATTTTGGGAGTGATAAGGATTACCATTGAAATACATTCTACATAGAAGCTACACATGCAAGCAGTAATAATATCAGCTTGACATATATATTACATTTAACAGGCATTATGCACAAGCTGCCATCATCATGTCACATGCGAACATGACTGCATCAAAACTACACACGTTGTACTAATTAATGTTTTGATTTTACCCATTGCACATGTATTGGATCACTTGCTGCTTTGGATTGAATGCTGTTTTATAGTTTTTATAGAATTGATATCTTTCTTAAAAGTGTTTCTAAGCACATGCTTTGTCAATTGTTTATAATTTCTTACAGGTTAAGTCCTTGGCAAAGTTTTGCGCTCTCTGAATGCTTTTCTTATTTATTTATTTATTTATTTATTTATTTATTTATTTATTTAATCAATTTTAGCAATTTTTTGTGTGCACTCAAATCTCTTGATCATATCGTACCCAGAGTTTTTGTATGTTCTCCCCCCCAACCCCCACCACCACCCACCATTTCCCTCAGTAGCATTCCTCCATTCAGATCCCATACTGTATTTCTCTATTTAAGGAGTTACAGATTGTACCATAGACCTGTCTGTCGGTGGATAATGTATATGTTCATCTGGGTTCACCTTGCTCTTGCTCTGTTTGAATACCCAGCAATATATGGACTAGATGTAGAATACTGGGTAAGTAGAAATACAATTAACAAATAAAAAAGGGGAAATCTATGAGGTATTTAAAAAATTAATATATTTTTTGAAGAATTGATATGATAAAATTAAATGATGAAGTTATAACTTCTTTCTTGAAGGAACAATTGTCTGCAATTTCAAAATAATTATTAGTAGTCTATTACATTAGTTATAGTAAGCACCAAAAACATTCCACATTCCAAATCTGTTCATTAATTTTTTTTTCAGATCACCATGGCAATAGAAACTGTTTGCCTCATTGCCTACATATGCCGTTTTCTTCATCACAAACGTTTTGATGTGCATGAGAATTTATGGAATAACAAGAGATACCTGATCGTATGCATTCTTGTAGCGGTCAGTGTCCCTTTAAGTGGAACTAATATATAAATGATTGTTGTATTTGCTTTGACAATTAAGATTATTTGTACTTTAAGTTACTTGCATTATAAACACTGTGATTTATAGTAGTGAAGTAAGCACCTTTACTAAATTATAACTGAAAGAAGAAAAGATAATTATTTTTTGTTTGTTTTTTCCTTCTTCCTTTTTTGTTGAGATGGGCAAAATATAAATAAAAATTTTTTAATGTCCAATTTGCTCCATTTTGAGATTCTGAACATAGTGAATGATTAAAAATGACAAACTGTAATGAATTATTTTTGGGGGAGATAGCTTATTTATTATAATCAATGAATATTTTAAGAATCTTTTCTTTCTAGCTGACCTGGCTTGACATGGTGATATATGTTATCTGGTACCAGTTTGGATTTTTTGGTAATCACAAAGCTATCAGATGGTCACGCCCCCTCAGACCAGTTTTCTTGGCAGCATTTGGAAGACATGTAATTTTAATATAGATATATATGACTGTTTTGATGTGTGCAGTTTGTAGAAGTTATCATGTGTTATGAACACACAATTATGGATAATTTAGAATTAGAATTTCATAAGTAAAGTGCCAAAAAGCTAAGTACAGGTTTAAAAAATGTGCTAAGACATTATTCCTTAGAGAGAAATCTGGTTCGTCCCCAGTTCCTTGAGGTTTGATCATTATTTTCAGAAGAAATTTCTTAAAAAGCAAAAATTGAGACCAAAAATTGGCATCTAGCTGTTTTATCTTTTTTTTTTTTTTCATTAAAAAAAGCATAATTTCAAATAAAACATTCTCATTTCAGTTGAGGAAAGCCTTTGAAAATATCAAAAGGTCTCTCCCTGAGACACTGAATGTCCTGGCAGTATTTAT